CTGCTAACCAAAAGGTTGGCAGTTCAAGCCCACCAGGCACTCCACAGGAGAAAGATGAGGCAGTGTGCTTCCATAAGGATTTGCAGCCTTGAACCCTAAAAGGCAGTTCTACCTTGTCCTTAAGAGTCACTTTGACTTGGAATCAACTCTATGGCAGTAGTCAATCTTCTCCAACACCACAATTCAAATGTATCAATTCTTTTTTGGTCTTTTCATTACTTACACTATTTCTGATTTCCTACAATGGAGCAGAGGAAAAGAGAATTGGCAAAAGTACTAGAAGAAAGAAATATTCATTCTGAGATGCTTTGAAAGACATGCTATATCCAACCTACCTCTCTGCTTCTCCTCACTGGCCTCCCTGTTACTCATTTAGAGAAAAGTCTTCTCTTCTCATTCCTCCAAGAAGGTTCAGCCCAACCAGATGAGCCCTGGGAGACTGGTCTTGTGATGCTCTACCTTCAAGGGTTCCTTGAAGCCTTTGGGCATCTAGCTTTTATTGTGACTGACTAGGATGGTCAACCTTCAGGGTAGTAAGAGTCAGTCATTCACCAGACATCCTACCTCCTGATTGGCTGAATCCAGGGCAGCTAACCCAGACCCACAAGGTACTAATCAGGATTAGGGTCACATTGCAAACCCACAGTCCACCAAAATGGAAAAGAAAGGGTAGGAAAATGTCTCAACAAAGAGAGAAAAGGCTGGCTTTCCAAATGGCTGCAGAGTGGGAGCAGTGAGTTGGAGTGGGCTTTGTCCCAGGTTCCTTATCTTCCAGAAGGCATCTGGGACAGGGCAGGCTTCTCAGGTGCAAAGGTCACTAACCCCAAGGCCCCCACTCTCTGAGACCTCTGGAGGAAAGAACAGTCCAAAAGAAAAGCTGGGTCCGAGGAGAACCCCTCCCTTGGTCCCCTCCTCATCTTTCCGAGACAGGCCTTGTGTGGAAAGCAAATAGGCCCATGCCAGGGACCCTGCCCTTTGGACCTTTTGCAATTTCGCTCGGAGCTCTTTAAACCAGGGTTCTGTGGCTCTAGGGCCGGCCCTTATATAAATAGAGCACAGACTCTAGCGCGCATTTCCAGCATTTCCATCGTCGGGCCTGCGGGGCGAAGAGCCGGCCTTGGAGCTTGGGTCCCTAAGAAGCCCGGGGTCCGGCAAGGTCCAGGCCGCAGTAAGGGAGCCGCTCCCATCCACCGGGTCCGCCATGGGCCTGGCGAGGCCCGCGCTGCTGCTGCTGCTGTTGCTTTCTGGCGGCGCCTTGGCCCGTGAGTGCAGGGCGGTGGGTCGAGTCCATTCTGCATGTGTTAGGGTGGGAGATTCTTCACCTCTCTGGACAGGCCCTCTCATCACCAGCTCCCAGGCGGGCGTGGGAACACCTGGGGTGGGGCGTGAGACTGCAGAGATTGATCCATTTGGAGGAATTGCCTTGATAGCTGTGGTTAGAAACCAGTGGCAGGGGAATTAGCTGGGGCAGCTTAGACATGGTTCAGAAGAAGGGCAGCCTCTGGCCTGGACTTCCACAGGGACAGGGGACGGGGCGGGGAGCAGTACCCACTGTGTAGATCTTCCAGGTTCAGAGTGGTGGAGGTGAGAGGGCTGGGTAATGGGTTCCCAGAACTTGGTTCTCCAGTGAAAGGGAAAAGACCTACTACACACAGTGGTCCTCCTTGCCAGACCCTAAAAACCCATCTGGGAAGACCTGGGAAAACCCACAGGGTTCTTTATCATTTTCTTACAGAAGACGAAGTACTGGAAAATGTCAGCCCGAGCTGTCCAAGTAAGGCATTTCCCTACTGGGCCCGGAACCCATATTTCTGAACCTTCTTCATTCACTGAGCCCCCCACCCCCACTTGTTTACAATGATGGGATGCTGTGAGGGGTGTGCAGTGATTTGACAACCGGCCCCTCCCCCCAAGAAGCAAGTCCCCAGCCTTTCTGCCCACCTCTCCCACCCCCCGCCCCGGAGATCGCAACAGTCTTCCCCCTGACCTTTTGTTCTGGCCTAAAATCTCAGTCTGGGGGGAGGGGAGGATGGGACTGTCGCTCTGTTGACCCGTGGACACTTTGAAGTGAGCATAACCACAGTTCATCAGTGGCTAATCATTAATGTAAAGCCCATGAGGGTGAGGAAATGCTGACTTTAACCTTTGTGCAAATACCCAGACCCCCTACCCCCTTATATTTACCTGACCCCTAAGGGTCAAAAGGAGCTAGCCTTGCAGAATCCTGTGTTCTGAAAACACCAAGGTTGGCCTCTCGTGGGGTAGTACTGCCATCTGGTGGGCTTTCGATATCACTGCAGCTAGGTTCACACTCCAGGTGTTGGCCATTTTTCCCTCAAACTTGTTCAGAAAATTCCTCTCAAACACAGTAGAAATCTCCAGAAATTTATTTCTTCAGGTTTCCTAAGCCATTCAGATAACCCTAACCCTTAGTGAGTTTTTTCTCAAGTATTTTTATACAATAAAAAAATCATAGAATTATGCTATTTTCAAACCAAAAAAGGCAGCAGAGATAATATATCCTTTTGCTTAAAGCTGTCAAGTCTAAATTTTTGAGAGTTTTTTTCAACAGATTTTCCAAGACCAATCCATTGTTATTCTCTTCCTTGCACCACAGATGCCATATTCAAGGAAGGCCAGCTAATTTTAACATTGTGTGCCCTGGAGTCAATTCCAACTCTTAATTACCCGATAGGACAGAGTAGAACTTCCCCATAGGGTTTTCAAGGCTGTAATGTTTACAGAAGCAAACTGCTGCATCTTCCTCCTATGGAGCAGTTGGTGGGTTCGAACTGCCAATTTTTCAGTTAGCAACTGAGCTCTTAACCTCTGTGCCACTAGGGCTTTAGCCTCAGCAAAAACATAGAAGTTTTTCTCTAGAGGAAAATTAAGTGCAATGCAAAGTCAATTAAAAATAATTTGAGTTTAATTACCATTTTTGATTATCTATGCCACTGCTCTTCTCTGCTCAGAATTCATTGTCCTTGGGAGAGTTCTTACTGCTATGTGGCTGACTAATTTTCCTTCATTTTAGAAGATGCAACTCGATTCAAGCACCTCAGGAAGTATGTTTACAGCTATGAGGCTGAGAGTTCCAGTGGAGTCCCTGGGACTGCTGATTCAAGAAGTGCCACCAAGATCAACTGCAAGGTATGAGAGAGGCGCTGGAGTATCTGGAGACTGCGGATTTCCCCAGCCCTACTTGGCCATGCGCCCATGACCTTCCAAGGGGCTGTATGCTGATATATCTAGCACAAGCCATGACTGTTCTTCTGGGACCAGCCCTCACTCTGTACATCAGCCTCCTTGCTGAGAAGTTGTTGGCCACAGAAAGTGTTACCATTCAGATTTGTTTTGTCATTAGCTTCAAAGGTGTAACTGGGATGCATGCTCTAGAATGCCAGCACTGCAGAATAGTAGATTTGAACAGGATGGAAGAAGCCCAGTCATGCACTAAGGGAGATGGGCTTTCAGGAAAGCACTGTGATGTGCAGTTTTTATAATCTACGTCAAACAGAATCAGTTACTGCAAACAAAAATAAAATGTTTTAAATATAGTTTACTCTAAAATCAAATTATCAACTTATTGCAGTTCCTTAGTCACACTAGACATATTTCAAGTAATAAATAACCATCTGTGGCTAGTGGCTACCATATTGGACAGTGGAAATACAGATCATTTTCATCATTGCAGGAAGTTCTTTGAACAGCACTGGATAACAGTTAGTTCCAGCTGTGTGTGGAGCTCTAAACAGGCTCTGATAGAGACAGGTTTTTTTTTTGTTTTGTTTTGTTTTGTTTAGCCTTCCTGCTCCATATATTTCTTTTTCATTCTTTCTCTTGATCTTCATTTCATCTAACCAATAATACCTCTCTACAAGTAAGCTGAACAAATTTAGAACCAATAAAAGGATACCCTCCTTCACCTGTATAAAGACCCACTTAAAAAAGTTTATTTCCCAGGACACGGAAAAGGCCAAAAGTCAGGCTAAGTCTAGATTGATTCATAGAAGCATGTTAAGGTGACATCTGATGTTGGGAAACAGACAGTCATGTTCTCAACAGCATGTCCTTTATTGTCCTGCTTAGAGGCTAAGCCCTGGGATATGAGGGAGATCCATGTTCTTCTTGGAGAGTCTCAGTGTGCTGCTCCCTTCTACTTTCAGGTCGAGCTAGAGGTCCCCCAACTCTGTAACTTCATCCTGAAGACAAGTCAGTGTACCCTGAAAGAGGAATATGGCATCAACCCTGAGGGCAAGGTCTTGCTAAAGAAGACCAAGAACTCTGAGGAGTTTTCTACCGCCATGTCCAAGTAAGGCTGAGAATGGCTGCTTAAGTGTTTGAGCTCTGTGCATGCCTGCATATTTTGTGAACACATATGCATGCATGTGTTTGTGTGTGTCTTTTGAGGTGTGAATGTTTGTGTCCATATTAAGCATGTAAAAGGATTTGTATTCTGTATTCACCCTTCTTTGAGAATTGCCTTCTGTCTCTGAATTACCATAACTATCAAAAAGAGGAAAGCATTGCTTACCCTTCTAGTTAAATTTCCTGAATTATCAATTAAATATGCTTCAGAAAGATCACATGTTTTAAACTCACTGAGACAGTAAACTGGAGATAGTTTGTTTGAGCCACTGAATTCTAGTTTTAAGAGTTAAACAAAACTGGTGCCTGGTGTTCCTGGGTGTGGATCCCAGTAAAATGTGACGCTGTGGCCTGCACATGACAAGTGCGGGGTGTGCTTGGGGAAGGTGAGGCCCAGGCCAAGGCCTTAGCCTTTCCCTTCCCTAGGGCTAGCATCCTGCTGGTGCATGCTGATAAGGACATCCCTATGATTTACAGTTAGCATCTCTTCTGATGAATCAATTCCCATGTTGTACCAAGTGTTTAATATTTTGAGCACCACCCCACCCTCAACCCCAAACTACAGTTTGTACTATTTAAGTGTGTGCAAAAATATGGAGTCACAGATTTGTTCAGTTGGTAGCATCAGACAATCCCTCTCTGGACATCTTTTGGTTGGCTGAACATTTGACATGGAAACCAGTTCTTTCTCTGCAAAATATGCCTTGGTGCCATCTGTCTTTCACCAATACACCTTCTCTTACCTGACAGATGTATGGGGGTGTTGCAGTGGTGGAAGAGAGTAATAGTTACTTTTTGATCCTTACTCTTCTCCATTTATACATATGGACTCTTGTTTTTGACCACCTCCAGGCTGCCCAAGGTGTGTCTGGGGTCCAAAGCTTCCTGGTAGTGTGATAGGCTATACGAGACACACCTGGTCTCCTATACCAGCCACACCTGGCTTCCCTCTTTTTGACTTAACTAGAACAGATACAGGCAGTGCTCTGAAAAGAAATATTTCCTGAAGTAAAATCCCTATTCTTCCACCACTAGTTCCCTCAGACCAAAGTCAACCAAGGCTTCAGACGTGGCCTTACCAGCTACCATTAAGTAGAGTCCAACTAATGGCAGCCTCATTTGTGTCAGAGTAGAACTGTGCTCCATAGGATTCTCAGTGGCTGATTTTTCAGAAATAGATCACCAGGCCTTTTTCCAAAACATCTCTGGATAGGTTCAAACTGCCAACCATTCAGTTAGTAGCCAAGCACTTAACAATTTGAACCAGCCAGAGACTCCTTCAGATGTGGTTGGAGACCATATAAAAGAGTGAATATCCAGCAAGTATATGAAAAGAAACTCAAAGTCACTAGTAATCAGCAAATGCAAATAAATGAAAAATGAGGTATCAATCGCTTTATACCAATCAGAGTTTAAAACATCTATAGCACCTGTTGCTGGCCAGGCTGTGGGGAACATGTACTGTCAGGCATTGTTGTTGGCATTGAGAGTGGTTAAGCAAGACCTTTTATGGTTAAAAACTTACACCTTTTGACACAGCGATCTCAGCCCCTGGGACTCCAGCCCATGAAAATAAAAGCAGTAATCCATGAAGATATATGTATAAGGATATTTATTTCAGTGTTATTTGTGTGGCCAAAAAAATAAATAAATAAATAAATAGAGTAAATACCATCAAATAGGAGAATGTCTGAATAAATTATATAGTGTAGAATGTAATACAACTTTGAAACACATTAGAGCTATACCAAATGACCGAGAGGGATTTTAATGGAGTAGAATTAAGTGAGAAAAACAAAATGAACTAAAGAATGCATACTGTGATCTCATTCATTTGAAACAAACACTGACAAAAATCTTTGTAAGTCTACACTTATAAGAAAAGAAATTTTTAAATGCCAGCAAATATATATATATTTTTTTTACTCTTGAAAATGTACGTATATTTATAAAGAAATGTTTTAAAAAAGAAGAACAGTAAGTAAGAAAAAGCCTGCAAATTTGTACAGGAGAAAGGCAGGCAGGCAGGAAGGCATAGGTAAGGCCACAGATAAGAGGTAGGTAACCTCAGAGAGGAGGTGGGAGAACTTTTTTACATTGTGGGGACTGTAATCAGTGTTGAAAAACAAAATATGTTGAACTGTTGATGGAAAATGAATCTGCTTTGTAAAATTGCACCCAAATCACAATTAAAAAAAAAAAAGAAAGAAAGAGCTTGCAAAGCATCCCCAGCTTACTTCCAACAATTTCCCAACAGACCCATATAGCTATGTGTAGGTCTGTGAGGAGCTCTGGTAGCACAGTGCCTAAGGCACTTGACTGCTAACCAGAAGGCTGGCAGTTCAAACCCACCAGCCATTCCTTGGAAGGAAGGTTGGGCAATCCTACTTCCGTAGTGATACTGCCTTGGAAACCCAAGGAGGGGTCGCCATGAGTTGGGGCCAACTCGACTGCACATAACAACAACAACAGGTTTAAGCTTATAAATATAGTGATTTTTTCATTGTTTTATATGAATGGGATCATTTTATTCACACTTTTCTTCATCTTTCTTTGCTCACATCTCTGTGACCATTCTCTCTCTCTCTCTGGGACAGGTATGAGCTGAGGCTGACCGTTCCTGAAGGGAAGCAGGTTTTACTTTACCCAGAGAAGGATGAACCCAAACACATCCTGAACATCAAGAGGGGCATCATTTCTGCCCTTCTGGTTCCTCCAGAGGCAGGAGATGCCAGTCGAGTGTTGTTTCTGGTGAGAATCTGGAAAACTCAAAATAGTGGCCTATCGGCTCATCTTCTTCACATATTCAAGAGTGGCCCCAAAGTGGATCATAGACTTAGTCCATGGCTAGTTACAAAAGAGACCTTCCTCCTGGGGAGACACCACTGGTGAAATACCAGTGGCCAGATTGCCCAAATATCCTACTATCCCACCTGTAACTACCACCAGTGTTAAGAAAGTGATGCTGCCTTGGGCTCGCTGACAGTTCAACCTTAGCAGGCTGATTAGGTCAGGCATAATTTAAAAGCAGTCACTGGGGAGTCCTGACTACTCCACTTCCTGCTTTGGTTTGATTTTTTCTCCTATTCTCATGAGGTATAGCATAGTAAAGCCTGTGTGTATGTATTTTAAACACCAAAAGTAATGGAATAGGATCTTTTAGGAGCTTCAGACAGAGTTCCATATACTTCAGTCCCACAAACGTTCTTGAGCACTTAATGTGTTCTAGGTTCTGTACTACACTGTTCCTGGAGAATACAGAAATGTACCTTTTCTTGGGGAGTTATCAGGGTCTGGGTGGAGAGGTACACACATCTAACATGAAGCAGAACAGGATACAAGCTGTAATGAGCAAGAGAGAAAATGCCCTGAGAGCACAAAATAGAAAGAAGTCTCTGGCTCTTGTAGACAAGACAAGCGTATTCAGCCTCTAGTTCTAGAACCATCTTTGCCTGGTTTCCTTTCTCCCAACTCTGGCTGTCCAAGTATCAGCAATGCTGACACGTTATGGAAGAAACACCCTCGCTAACCCTATGCTGCTTCTGCCTTTTCCTCCAAGCTTCTTTCCCAGTCCTCCTGAGCCTCCTGAGAAAAAAAATGGGGATTCTTTTTTTTTTCTCTCACTTTGAATGTACTGGCCTGTATCTTCTGCTCCCATAGGATACTGTATATGGAAACTGCTCCAGTGACTTCACTGTTAAAAGAAAGATGGGGAATGTGGCAACAGAGATATCCATTGAACGAAACTTGGAGAAGTGTGATCACTTCAAGCCCATTAGCACAGGCGTTAGCCCACTTGCTTTCATCAAAGGCATGGTAAGTCTCACATCCACATCGTTTTTCACACTAAGCACTATCCTCTTTATTATGAAAATTCTGTTAGAGGTAGTAGGGATCTCAGAGAAGAACCTGGACAGCCTGATCTTTATACAGATGAGAAACTGAGGGCCAGACAGTGAAGGGCTTCCAAGGCCATATGGCTCATTACTAATTGAGCCAGGAGTAGGATCAGAATCTGGACCCCAGTCCAGTGCTCTTGTCCTTCTTGCTGTCTTTCTGTCACTGGCACTAAACCCTTTGCTGTCACTTCAGAGTAATGACTGTATATCTCTCAGGAAGGCTTTGGGACTTGACAGAGAATAGCAAACATACTTTCTATTCCTGCTTGTGCAAAGTCCCTTCCAACCTCTGGCCTCAGAGGAAGTCTCAAGATATGTATTTTCCTCTCCTCTCTCACTCCCATAAAGTGGCACTGCCTAAACCAAAACATTCCAACTTAATTTCCTTCCACCCCAATTATAACCTCCATCAAAGTCTGGTCTTTGTGTTTCCTGCCAAGGCTTCCCCCTCAGTGCTGATCTTCTCTCCTATTAACTTGGATCATGGAGTACCATATGGGCAAAGTTTGCTCAATCCCTACCCTTGGAATATCTTCCTGGACATAAGTTACAAGTTGTCTCAGTAAACATGAGCAACTCGAGCAATCACTGGCATGTCCAGCAATGTTCCTGGTCATTGTCCTTGGGACCAGAAACAGGGAGTCCAATGACCACAAGGGCCACTCATTTGTGCATCTTTTCTGAGCACCTGCTGTGTGTTGAGCCCCATTCTTAGCAGCACTGAGGGAAGGACTGTGGCAGATAATCCACGGACCTGCCCCTCAAGAGACTGACAGTCTCATGCAGGAACAAGGTTTATGCATTTACCAATAATGGATGACATATGGCATACCTCAAGGAAACAATAAACTGAACACTGTAGATAAGCAATCCTAGGAAGGAGAAAATATTAGTCACGTAGTTCGTTGGGCTTAAAGTTTCATGGAGGATATATAGCATGAAAAACACAAAGGATATGTAAATGGAAGAGATAAAGAAGAAAGGGCTTCTAGGCAAATGAAAAAATAATAAATGATGTTGTGTGAGGGAAGTCCCTGGGTGATACAAATGGTTAAGCACCGAAAGACTAGATGAAAGATTGGTGGTTTGAACCTATCCATAGGTGCCTCAGAAGGCAGGCCACCAATATACTTCTGAAAGGTCACAGCCATTGAAAACCTTATGGAGTAGTTCTACTATGACACACATGAGGTGGCCATGAGTCAAAATTGACTCCGCAGTATCTAAAGTGCGTGAGGTGTTGGATATTGGATACAAAGTATATACTTTGTACAAGATAGGAGGTGCATTGAGATGAAATAAGATTCTATGCCTTGACTCATATTTGGGAATGTTGAGCTGCTGCATCCCTTTATCAAGCTCCCTTCTTTTACTGGGGTTATCAAGTGGTATAGGACACCCTTGAAGGTATAATAGAAGACTCATGTTCAAGCCACAAGGACTTATCAAAATGTTTTTCTCCAATCTCATGCACAGGTCCGTCCCTTATCAAGTCTGATCAGCAGCAGTCAGTCCTGCCAGTACACCCTGGACTCCAGGAGGAAGCATGTGTCAGAAGCAATTTGCAAAGAGCAACACCTCTTCCTACCTTTCTCCTACAAGTAGGTCACCTGCTGCACCCCTGACTCATCACTTAGAAGGGATCAGTGTGAACTGAACACGTCTTAATAATACCCTGTTCTAAGCTAGCGAGGGGGTTATAAACAGGTACAAGGCAGACTCCATCACTATCCCCCTTGCCAGGCTCATAGGCAATTTGGCGGAAAAGTCTTAGGCATTCAAAATAATTCAAGATCAAGAAAAGATATCTGAAACTTAGACTTTAAGGGCTGTAGATTAACAAAAAGCTGGGGATCATTATAGGCTGCCTTGGTTAGCAAAGGCTTCATGGAAGATTTGAGATTTGTACTGGAGATATGTGTACTCAAATCCATTTTGAAAACTGATCAATCAGCTATGTTAATTGAGTAACTGCTCTGGTAGCATAGTGGCTAGGGCACTTGACTACTAACCAGAAGGCTGGCGGTTCAAACCCACCAACCACTCCTCGGAAGGAAGGTTGGGCAATCTACTTCCGTAGTGATACTGCCTCAGAAACCCAAGGAGGGGTCACTATGAGTCAGGTCTGACTCGACAGCACATAACAACAACAACAACATCTTCTGGGCACTGTGCTGTGGGACACACAAAATAATTTCAGTGCACAGTGCTAGTGCCCACCCTCTAAGCATTCCAAATCAATGGAAAGCAGAAGGTACACATCCTTCTGATGAAGGGATGACTAGCATGGCCAGGAAGGGTGAATGCTGTTTACTAGAGGGATCTGAGACAGTTGGATTTAACTGCCTTGAAATGTGCCCAGGGCATGGGTGGAAACAGAAAGGGGAAACATTCAATGTGAAAAGAAGAGTGTGCTGGAGAACCCAAGGGGCTGGCCATCAGTGACATGACCTGTGTTCTTTGTTACCAGGAATAAATACGGAATGATGACACATGTTACACAGTCTTTGAAACTTGAAGACACACCTAAGATCAACAGTCGCTTCTTTGATCAAGGTAGGCTTGTCTGTCCATGTTCTTACCAGGCCTGGGAGATGTGCCCAGGACGTAGCAATCATGGCTTATCTCTTGGTTGGACCTTGTTAACTGTCACTAACAAATGGACTATGGTATTCTGGCTGCTGAGCTACCTGTAGTGAAAAAAAAACTTATGTATCTCAAAACATCAAGTGGCAAGAGGGTGAAAATAGGGCATAGTTTTTCAAAGCTCCCAAGGCTTTTGTAAGTGAAACATTAGACTAAGAACTGGTGCCCTGAGTCTAATGTGATCCCTTCAGTAGGCTGGCAATACCACACATCCTACGATAAGGTCTCAGGGCCCCATGCAGCAGCCTGGGACCTGGATATGGTACCGCAGTGGAAGAGGACTTTTAGAGGCATGCCAAATAATAATCCCAGGAGTCAGTCTTTAGTGATGGAAGAGTCTTTAGAGAGCTCTAGTCAACCTGAACTCCCTGCATTTGTATTATATTTATGCCTGTTAAACCACTTTCTTATACATTACCCCATTGTATAACATAGTGACCTGTAATGACAGATAGTAGGAATATGTGTTTTCATAACTATTTTACAGAGGGAAAAATTACACATAGTGATTTATTCAAGGGCACAGAATATTAGAGGTGGCACAGAATTAGCTCCAAGGTTTAAGCTAAGTCAGATCTCTTGCATTACACCACATTTTTCATGCTGACTTTCACCCTATTCCCTGATATGTCTCAGAGCAGGATGATGGAAAAGACACAAGGGCATCTCCCCTCCCTACAGCCTGCCAGTCCATCCAATTAAAAGAAATGGTGGGTAGAGTTCAATGAGTCTCAGCCTCAGCTGTAGCCCTGTCAGCAGCAGCCCCTCCTCACCAGTTCCTTCTAGCAAAGAAGTGCCTGATACTGGGTTCAAACAAACTTGATTCTGCCCTTTAGTCCCAGCATGTTCTTGGGCAAGTTGAATTGATTCCCTTTAAAGTAAGGAATGACACTAACCTTCGGGAATATTGTGCACAGAGCACATAATAGAAAATGAAAACAGGAGTAGTTTTCTTTCTTTTCCTCTCTCATGGTACTTTCCCAAAATCCAGATTCCAGTATACAAAGGTGTTGTGGAGATGCAGAGGTAAGCAAGAACTCCTGTGGCACAATTCCTTCTTCCAGGTGGCGAGAAAGTGGGCCTTGCCTTTGAGAGCACCAAGTCCACATCACCTCCAAGGCAGGCCGAAGCCGTTTTGAAGACCCTCCAGGAACTGCAAAAACTGTCCATTTCTGAGAAGAATGCCCAGAGACCTAACCTCTTCAATAAACTGGTCACTGAGCTTAGAGGCCTCAACAATGAGGCAGTTGCATCCCTCTTGCCAAGGCTGATCGAGATATCCAGGTATTTCTTTAACATTGCAGTTAAATATCTCATATAACCTATGGGAGCTAACTGAACTTTCAAACCTTGGCCAAATAGAGGATCTTCATTCTTGGGCACCATTTAAATATCACATTAATTAAACAGTTCATCAGTTAATGTTTACTGGGTAGTGAAATATCAGCCAAGGTACCTTGCCTCAGAACAATTAGGGTTCTGTATTTAAGGCAGATATGTATTTGTGTGTTAAAATGGGGGGAAATGAGAGAAGGAGAAATGTTTGTATCTAGAAAATTGGAACTTCAATTCCCATATTTTGATGAGCATCTTCTAATTCATAGTGCCATCGTGGGTGTTCTAGGAAGTCTGAGAGAAAAAGAAGTTGGTTAGATGGAGAGAGTACTCAGGCAAATAAATAATAATATGATTTGTCTTCATTTCATGGCATGGTCTCTAAGTGCTCTGAGGGTCATAGAAGGGATTGAGGAAGGGAAGGCTTTATGGCTTTAGGAATTTAAGTTGGATTTTGAAAGATGATTGAATTTGGATAGTGAATAAAGTAAATAAGTGCACTCTTGGCAGTGGGAACTCCATGGGCAGAGGATAATTTGTCTGCTTCGAAAGTGGTCCGTGTAACTTTCTGTGGGTTTTTTTTTTTTTTTTGCTTTTTTTCTTAGTCCCATCACTTTACAAGCCTTGGTTCAGTGTGGACAGCCCCAGTGTTACACTCATATTCTCCAGTGGCTAAAAAATGAGAAAGCCAATCCCCTTCTGATAGATGTTGTAACCTACCTGATGGCTCTAATCCCAGAGCCTTCTGCAGAGAGGGTACGAGAGATCTTCAACACAGCGAAGGAGCAGCAGAGCCGAGCCACCTTATATGCCCTGAGCCATGTGGTCAACAAGTGAGTGAGTTTTCTCTATACTCCTGCTGGGGGATGACGATGATCCCACATCTCAGTATTAAAATTGTACCTCTCCCTCCACGTTCAAACCTTTGTTCTTACAGTTTGTTATTGTTGTTGTTTCCTGCCGATCATTTTGAGAGTAATGTCTTAAAATAAGAAATAAGCAAACATAAATTTGTATTTTAAGGGCAACCTCACTAGGCTTGCTGAGTCCTGACTCTCTTCCCTTATTCTGTAGCTATCATAAGATAAACCCGCAGGTGACCCAGATCCTGTTGGACATTGTAGATTACCTGTTGACACAGATTCGTGATGACTGCACTGGGGACCAAGATCACACCTACTTGATTCTAAGGGTACTTTCAGCATTTTCTTTAATAAGTCTCATTTCAGAAATACTTTCCCTTAACACCCCCTCACTCCTTCATTTGCACTCTGATGCCAGCTTGTTACTTTTCTTCAATTCAGGTCATTGGAAATATGGGCAGAACAATGGAACAAGTGAGCCCAAGCCTCAAGTCTTCAATCCTGAAATGCATCAGAAGTACAGAACCATCACGGCTGATTCAGAAAGCTGCTATCCAGGCCTTGCGAAAAATGAGCTCTAATGAAGAGGTAAAGTGCACAGTAGGTCTGAAAGTGAGACATTCATTCAGATTAACAAGAATTTGGAGAGTACCAGGCAACAAGGTTCTAAATGTCATCATTCTACAGAGTTTAAAACCCATTGCTGTAAAGTTTATTTGGACTCATAACTTTATTCTACTGTTTACTAGTTCCATAATTCAACAAGTTTATCAAATTGACTGCCAAGTAATATGCCCACATGACATACATATTGGACCTTGCTGCTCCTCCAACATGCAGAATATGAGAATTTAGCTATATGCTGCTCTTTTACCAGATTGACCATCACTCTTATCTTGGGAGAACATACCTGACTATCCCAAATATCCCCAAACTAGTGTAGTCAATCAGGTCCTACATGAAGTGACAATGACTCTTTGGAAATAATGTGATTTATTAGCCTCCAACTCTCACTAATCCTTTAAAACTTTACATTCAAATTGCAATAATATATGCTAAAACTTAATTTTCACTTAAAGGTAGATCCCCAAAATCATCATTACTTGGCCATAACGTGTATTTTAATGTAATTTTATTCCACATGTATTCGGTCAGTGTCTTCTCCTCCCTTGATTGGTTGCCCTGAAGAACACTGGAGAGAAGTTTCAGTACCAGATGTGAAGACTTACTAGTGAGAAATCAGACTTATGCATAAGAAAAAAGTTAGCAGACCATACTGATGTTTGCCAGGCATATTTGGTGCTCTGACCAAAGAACAATGATAATCAGCTCATCTTTTGGATATAGGTCCAGGGAGCCCTTCTTCAGGCTTTCCTTGATGGTGTTTCTCCAGTGGACAAGCGACTGGCTGCCTATCTCATACTGATGAGGGCGCCTTCCCAGTCAGATATTAACAGAATTGCCCAACATCTCCCATGGGAACGCAATGAGCAAGTGAAGAATTTTGTGGCTTCCCACATTGCCAACATCTTAACCTCAGAAGAATTGTATATCCAAGAGTAAGTAAAGCTCCATTTTGATATAGCCACTAACTGCTTTTTATGGAGTGTGCTTTCTTCTGTAGCAAACGTGTGTAAATTTATGGCACACTAGCCAATGTCTTGGGGAAAATGAGCCAGATAATTTGGTAACAAATGGAAAGTCATATTGACTCAGAGAGGCAATGGATAAATGGCATGGTGTGTCAGCTCAAAATATACTACTTCTTTTCATCTAGTCTGAAAACGTTAGTGGAAGAAGCTCTAAAAGGACTTCAGCTTCCAACCATCATGGATTTCAAAAAATTTTCCCGAAACTATCACTTTTCCAAATCTGTTTCCCTTCCATCAGTTGGCCCAGTCTCAGCCAAAATTGAAGGGAATCTTGTATTTGATCCAAATAATTACCTTCCTAAAGAAAGCATGCTGAAAACCACCCTCACTATCTTCGGATTTTCTGCAGCTGATCTCTTCGAGGTATGTGTGACACTGAATCCTTTAGCTTGTTCTGTACAAGACAATAAATAGAAAGTTGGGGGATCATGAGGCCAGCCTGGGGAGGAACAAGAATCAATTGTACCATATCTTTGAAGCCTTCTTCCTCCCACCTCCCTTACTTTGCTCTCCTCACATCCCAGGGGTCATCTGAAGCATAGCTCCTTAGGATAAATGTAAATGTAGATGTCTGAGCTTTGAAGCCCTAAAACCTAAAACCCAAGGAAGTCTGTAAGGGTGGAGTCAGATCTGGTCCAAACCCCAAATCCACTTCCAACTTTGAATCTTTGGTTTCATTATTTATCCTCTCTGAATCTTAGCTTTCTCTTTTATAAAAAGATAAGTAAGTTCTGCCTTTCAAAATGCCAGTGAGATTTAAATAAGACATCTAACTTCTGTGAAGTGCTAAGCTCAGTTCCTGGCCTGTAGTATTAATAAATACTTGTTTAATTGAATGGACGTAAAGAGAGAAATGGGAGGCTAACAACAAAACCCGATTCTTTACCTGATTTTCTACTCTGTTTTCAGATTGGTTTGGAAGGAAAGAGCTTTGAGCCAACATTGGAAGCTCTCTTTGGGAAACAAGGATTTTTTCCAGACAGTGTCAACAAGGCTTTGTACTGGGTTGATGGCCAAGTTCCTCATCAGGTCTCTAAGGTCTTGGTGGACCACTTTGGCTACACCAAAGATGATAAACATGAGCAGGTATGTATTTGATAATTATTCTCTCTAACAATGCTTTGGGTCTCAACACAAAGACATCTTTATCTCAGCCTGGAAGTCATCAGCGTACTATCTAAGTGAAGTGACAACTGTGGCTATTATTAACCAGCCTTATTTCCTGGCTACCATAAATGATTTATGCTTAACTACTAACCTGACATAGGGGGTAAGGCATTTGGCTCAACTACTAACCTGACATAGTAGGTAAGGCATAAAATGATTTATGCTCAACTACTAACCTGACTTAGTGGGTAAGGTCTGAACCACCCAGAAGTTCTGTGGTTCAGACCTACCAGTTGATATGTGGGAAGAAGATGAGGCAATCTACTTATGTAAAGATCTACAGCCCTGGAAACCCAATAGGAGTCACTATGAGGCAGTATTTGGTGGATTTTTTTTTTTTCTCACTAACCTAAATTTTGGCAGTTCAAAACCATCCAGTGACATCATGGAAGAAAGTCTTAGTGATCTACATCCATAAAGATTACAGAAAGAAAACCCTAAGAAGCAGTTCTACTCTGTAACATATGGGGTTGCCATGAGTTGGAACAGACTTCAAGGCAACAGATTTGGGTGTTTTGGTTTATGGGGCTGAAGGTCAGTAACCTCTGCAGCAATGGGCATCCTAATTCAATATGCCTTGGCACCACAGTCGTTAGAGGCATTTTAGAACAATGATTAACAGTGTGAGATTTGGAGTATAAGTCTAAATTATAACCTTAGTGATTGTAAGCTGTGGAACCTACATCAGTTACTTGATATTATGTGTATACATTTCCTCATCCCCAAAGTGAGAATAATATATATATAGATAGATAGATATAGATATATATCACAAGATTTTTATAAATATTAAATGAAATAAGGTGTGTAAAATGCTAAAACTAGTGCCTGATGCTGCTGCTGATTGTTCAATAAGCAGGTACTATTATCATTTTTATATTAATATTCCATTATTATTAATTACTTTCCTTGGCTTTCCCATCAGTGCACTAGCTAAAGGGAGCAAACTCCACCTTGAAGCTAGCCTGAGCACTCCACTTTAGAAGCAGAATATAGATTGTATAATCTGAAACTTCTCAATGTGACCTGACCATGAGCATCACATGGGAGCTTGCTAGAAGTATGGCTCTCTGGCCCCACTCCACACCTACTGAATCAGAATCTACATTGTAACAAGATGCCCAGATGACTTTTAAGCATGTTCAGGTTTGGGAAGCCTGACTAATTTATTTCTACATGCTCAAGGGTAGCCCCACCTCCATCTTCTCATGTACTTACTTCAACTTGAGGCTGAGGGGCTTTTTTTATTTGTTTTGGGTCTGTCAAATTTTTCTTTCTCAATGTTTAGGCCATAGACTGTGGCATTCTTCTTATCTCTAGGATTTTGCCTATGATCAGGTGTCTTTAAGCCTTTGGCCAATTTATATAGCAGCTACATTTTCTCATGATACCCTCATATTCTTCCCCAGTCAAAGGAGAGAAGGGTAAATACAGGTGGACAGAGGATCTTCTAACCTTGTGGAGCCTAAGGTTCTGGGAATCCTAGAAGGAAGATATCTCCCTTACCACTCCTATATTATTTCAATTTTAGAACAGCTTTGGAAGCAGTACTATTCCTGGCAGGACCTTAGTTTTTCATCTCACTTGGAAGGAATTATCTTTCAGTGTCTACCCTGTATCAAAAAGAACTGGTCAATGTTCAACCATTTCAAGAAGTAGCATATGATCAAGAACCGGTAGTACTGAAGGAAGAAGTCCAAGCTGCACTGAAGGTATTGATGAAAACAAGCCTTTAGGAATTAACAAAATACTGATTTTGAAAAGTTTTAACAAATAGACACAGTGCTAGAAGTATTCACTCATTCATGACAAGAAATTTGAAAGACAGCTACCTGGCCAACTGGACAGGAAAAGATCCACACACATGCCCATTCCAAAGAAAGTGACCCAACAAAAGGCAGAAAAATATCATTAATATCACATCCAAGTAAAAGTTTGCTGAAGATACTTGAAAAACAGTTGCAGCAGTACATCAATAGGGAATTGCTAGAAATTCAAGTTGGGTTCAGAATAAGACAAGGAGTGAGGTATTTCACTGCTGATGTCATATGGATCTTGGCTAAAAGCAGAAAATACCAGAGAGATGGTTTCTTGTGTTTTATTGATTATGCAAAAACATTTAACAGTGTGGATTATAAAAACAATATTTTTATATAATTTATACTTTTATATAAGATATTGCAAAGAATGGGAATTGTCTTCATGTGGAATCTATACATAGACCAAGAGAAAGTTGTTTGAACAGAACAAGAAGATGTTGCATGTTTTAAAATCAGGAAACGTATACATCAGAATTGTATTCTTTCACTATACTTAGTCTGTATGCTGAGCAAATAATTTAAGAAGCTGAACTACATGAAGAAGAATGTGGCATCAGGATTGGAAAAAGACTCATTAACAACCTATGATATGCAGATGACACAATCTTCCTTCATAAAATTGAAGAGGACTTGAAGCCTTTAGGGATGAACATTAAAGACTACAGCCTTCAGTATAGATTACACCTTAATATAAAGAAAATAAAAATCCTCACAACTGGACCAATAAGCAATGTCATGATAAATGAAGAAAAAAATTGAAGTCAAGGATTTAATTTTAAATGGATTCACTATCAATGCCCATGAAAACAGCAGTCAAGAAATCAAAGGACATATTGCCTTGTGAAAATCTGCCACAAAATTCTTCTTTAAAGTATTAAAAAGCGAAGTTGTCACTTTGAGGACTAAAATATGCTTGACTCAAGCCATGGTATTTTCAGTAGTCTCATATGTGTATGAAAGCTGGACAAAGAATGACAAAGACTAAAGAAAAATTAGTGCATTTGAATTATGGTATTGGTGAAGAATATTGAATATATATGGAGTGCCAGAAGGATGAACAAATCTGTTTTGGAAGGAGTACAACTAGAATGTTCTTAGCAATGAGGATGGTGAGCATTTGTCTCACATACTTTAAACATGTTATCAGGAGGGAGCAGTCCCTGGAAAAGTTTGGTAAAGTAGAGGGTCAGTGCAACAGAAGAAAACCCCCAATAAAATGGATTGACACATTGGCTGCAACAATAGGCTCAAGAATAGCAATGGTTGTGAGGATGGCACAAGACTGAGAAGTGTTTTGTTCTGCTGTACGTATGGTTGCTAAGAATCAGAATCAACTTGACAACACCTAACAACCACAACACTTGCCCCATAACCCCAATTTCAATGTTTGTGTTTAAGCCTGTTATGGTTGTGGGAAACAGGCTCCACTCACATCAAGAATCTAAAGGTATTTGATAGTGCTCATATCTTACTAGATATTTTGTTTTCCAAATTCCTAGGACATGGTAAATGGAATTATGCTCAATGTTGAAAAGCTGATCAAAGATTTGAAGTCCAAAGAAGTCCCAGAAGCCAGAGCCTACCTTCGCATCTTGGGAGAGGAGCTTGGCTTTGTCAGTCTCAAGGACCTACAGCTCCTGGGACAGCTGCTGCTTAATGGGATTCGCACTCTCCAGGGGATCCCCCAAATGGTACATAGACCAGGCCCCACCAGAAGGCCAATGAGATTAGCCAGTGCTCTTTTAAGTCTTCCAGATTTTGCTTAAGATCCCAGGCACACAAACCAGAGAAAGTCCTTGTGCTTCTTTCCAAAGAGGAAGTTTGTCTTGAAGTGAAAAAATGTCTTGGTCACAGTGAATTGGAAGTATCTAGAAATTAAGCTAGTTATAATGAAGTGTGCCTCTTAAGTGCATTAGTTTATCTGGAAAATAATATGGAGCCCACTGTCCTCTATATATGTTGTAGATTCCTTTGAATATTGAAATGATACAATAACCATGAAAGAATTTGATAAACTGTAATCCACTGTCCAATGTTAGCTATTATTTTTATTGTTATTGATTTTTTAATAAGGAAGAAAATATCAAAAAACATAATTCCTATGATCTGTTAAATAATAAGTTGGCTTTAAGAAAACAGATCTCAAATTTATATGAAAACAGATCTTAAGTTATGGAAATGTTATTTTAAAAACAAAAATAGATGTATACAGTTATGTATATCATCTTAGTAGCTCCTTGGTTTCAAAAACTCAGTTTCTCTATGCCATAATATATTTCAAATAAGCTCTCATTTATGTTTAGACTCTAAACAAGCAAAATAATTAAACTATGTCATGTAATGACAAAGTTTGTAAAGCTCTGAGATCCAGCAATATTCTTAAGTTCCTTCTAAATCACCAATTTAAAACGACATAATATTCTATCCAGAGCAGCTTCTTATTTTCCAGTTCATTGAAATCAGTAATCATTAATCATTTTAAATCAAACTCTTCATCTAATCAAAATATGCTAGTCCCTTTTTCTGGATAAAGAGGAATCTTTGTCCAATGTTTGGGAGGTTGCATTCAGCAAAATCCACTTCACAGAGTCTTACTTTTAGTTATTCTTCCCTATTGAATCAACAGATCAGAGACGCCATAAGGAAAGGTTCGAAGAACGACTTGTTCCTTCACTATATCTTCATGGACAATGCCTTTGAGCTTCCCACTGGAGCTGGATTGCAGTTGCAAGTATCTTCATCTGGAGTCATCACTCCTGGAACCAAAGCTGGAGTGAAACTTGAAGTAGCCAATGTAAGACCTTGTTCACTTTTTAATTCCATATGTTCTTCTTTTCCTCCAGGATGGGTTTCTGGTGTGATTTTAAAATGTATTTCTAGTTTAACACAAAGCTCATCATCATTGTAATCACCTTATTAATTGTTACTAAGGATTAAAGTTCCCCTAGGATGCTTTACCTCACTAGCTCCTGTGTGATAGGGCAGTAAGACAAAAACTCAGCTTCTTGCTCAATAAATGAGAATTTCTGTCATCTTTTCATTTTGTTATGCTTACAGTTCACTTGGGTACTTCCTAGTCTTGGGTATCCATGTAGCCTGGCTCTTGGGGAACTGAGAACTTGGCTATTTTTTCTCCAAACAAACCACAATAATGCTTCCTGAGGTGTGAGTCATCCAGAGATGTTTGGTCAGTGATGAGAAAGGGTGGTTGACCTGACTGTCAAGGGACTGGGGTATTTAACAAAACTCAAGTTGTTTTTGACTTATAGATGCAGGCCGAACTGGTGGCAAAGCCCTCTGTGTCAGTGGAGTTTGTGACAAATATGGGCATCGTTATTCCGGACTTTGCTAGGAGTGGAGTCCAAATGAACACCAACTTCTTCCATGAGTCAGGCCTGGAGGCTCATGTTGCCCTGAAGGCTAGGCAGCTGAAGTTCATTGTTCCTTCACCAAAGAGACCAGTCAAGCTGTTCAGTGGCAGGTAATTCTTTCAGCTAGGTGTCTGCTTAGCCTATTTGAAATAGAAAGTTGAAACTGTGTCTGGACAGCTACTAATTCAGGCCACTATGGCTTTGGTAGTTTCTGGATTACCTATTTTTAACCTATTCTAGACTCACTAAGTAATTACTTTACTTTCCACATTTACTGAATCATCCTGTATTTTTCTTCATTGACACTTAATATCTACTAGTTAGTTGAGAGGAGCTCTGGTAGCATAGTGCCTAAGGCACTTGACTGCTAACCAGAAGGCTGCCCACCAAACACTCCTCAGAAGGAAGATTGGGCAATCTACTTCCGTAGTGATACTGCCTCAGAAACTCAAGGAGGGGTCACTATGAGTCGGGTCCAACTCGATGGCAAACAGCAACAACAACAGTTAGTTGTGGACTGGGAGCTCTGTTAGTGTAGTGCCTAGGCATTTGAATGCTAACCAGAAGGCTGACGGTTCAAACCCACCAGCCACTCCATGGAAGGAAGACTAGGCAATCTACTTCCATAAAGATTTACCACTTTGGAAACCCAAAGAGGGTCACTATGAGTCAGAATCAACTCGATGGCAGTGAGTCTATTTTTGTTGTTGTTGTTGTTAGTTGAAGAGCTCTGATAGCATAGTGGTTAAAGCTCCAGGCTGCTAAGCAAAAGGTCAAAGTTTGAACCTACCAGCCTCTTCTTGGGGGAAAGATATGGCAGTCTGCTTCTATAATGATTTACCACCTTGGACACCCTATATGGCAATTCTACTCTGTCCTATATGGTTGCTTTGAGTCAGAATCAATTTGATGGTGGTGGGTTTGGCTTGGATTTTTTTAGTTAGTTTTTTTTTTTTAGGTTGTTTTTGTTTTTCTTTGTTTTGGGAATGGAGAAACACTAGCTCTAGAGAAATTGTCCTTGAGAGATGACCATTTTTACAGGAATAATACTGATGGATATACCAATTTGTGTTAGCCAGCTCAGTGGTATGGTTAAGTACTCAGCTGCTACTTGAAAGGTTGGTGGTTCATACCCACCAGAGGCTCTGCAGGAGGAACCTGGCTATCTGCTCCCATAAAAATTACAACCTAGAAAATTCTATGGGGCAGTTCTACTCTGTCCCATGGGAGCACTATGTCAAAGTCAACTTGATGGCACCTAACAACAACTCAGTAGGTAAACATGTAAGAATCCAAAACACTCAAACTCACTGCCCATCGAGTTGGATCCAACTCATAGTGACCACTCCATGGGTTTCCAAGAGGGTATCACTACAGAAGTAGATTGCCCAACCCTCCTTCTGAGAAGTGGCTCGTGAGTTTGAACTGCCAGCCAAACATATAATCTTATGTTTAAAATGCACCCTCATATTGAGAGCTTCATTTTCAAAGATACACATTCCTTTATTCATTCAAAAATAGTGTTTAACTGCCTAGAATGCACCAGGCATGTTGAGTGTGATACACAAGGTCCCTGAAGTTCTAGAATTATAGTATACAGGAAAGAGATACAATCAAGTAAGCAATAGCAATGAAGTGAGAGCTAAGTTAGAGGATATATGAGAGTAGCATGTAGTTACATATCAGGTAGGCTTATGGTATTTCAGGAAACCTTTCTGAGGAAAGTGATACTTAAGCTGATATCTGAAAACTGGGTCACAGTAATCCTGTCTTTAAAAAAAAAAAAAAAAAAAACAGTGTTCCAGGAAAAGCATGTGTAATGGCTTGGAAGAAAAAGAATATGGTTAAAGGAACTGAAAGACATTCAGTATGGTAAGGGGCACAGAGAAATTAGAGTGGGATGGCTATGGAGAGGTTTTGGGTCAGGCCATGACAAGCTGCTAAACCATCTTAGGAAATTTGGACTTCTTCCAAAAGGATTTTAAAAGAGCAGATAAAGTTGGTGTATTAGAAGAACTATGATTAAGTGGAAAATGGATGGAAAAGAGACACAACTGCGGACAGGGAGACCACTTAGGAGTCTTTTATAATGATAAGAGTAAGATGATAATGGGCTGCACCAGAAAAGGGCCAGGGTGTAGAGAGAAGTGAGAAGACACTAGTGTTAGAAGGTGGAACCACAAGTACCTGGTGATTGAAGGGATGTGGGAGGTGAGAGAAAGGAAAGAGGAAAGGTGAGTTGGAGGTGTCCTTTATTGCAATAGAGGCTACAGAGGGAGAACAAGTAGTTTAGAGGGAATATGACAAGTTCAATTTAGAATATGCTATAGTTGAAGTCCTGGGAGAAGGCCAATTAGAAATACTTAGCTGGAAGTTGAACCTATGGGTCAAGTATCCCTATTTGCTGTTGTTGTTGTTGTTATGTGCCGTTGAGTTGGACCCGACTCATAGTGACCCCTGCTGGGTTTCCGAGGCACTATCACTATGGAAGTAGATTGCCCCATCTTCCTTCTAAGGAGTGGCTGGTGGGTTTGAACCACCAGCCTTCTGGTTAGCAGTCAAGTGCCTTAGGCACTACACTACCAGAGCTCCCTCTATTTGCTGGTGATTCCCAAATCTGTATGTGGAGCTCAGTAAAGGCATTTAAGCTCCACATATCGATTTGGGAAATTTGGGAATCACCAGCTTGTACAGTTACTTGAAGATCATACAGAGATTGGTGTAGAGTAACATGTGAGGGACTAGGATATAAACATGGAGAATACAAACATTTAATGAGGGGAAGGGAATAAACAGCAAAGAGTGAGAAGAAGTGACCAGGGAAGCAGAAGGAAAACTAAGGAGTGGCTATGAAGTGGGTGACCACAAAGGCAGACTAGAGCCAGTGCTTAGGTTTCCAGCACCCCAGGAAACATGGTCTTAGGGAACCCCAAAATGAGGAAACAGTACTTGAGAAAGAGCATGATATTTCAGAGACAGCATTGTTGGAAAAAAATAAGAACATTGTTGAACTTGTACTAATTATATAGCTTACTAGTTTTTTAAGTATATATTTGGAAGGAGGATACCATATCTTTTCAGACCTTAGGGCTCCTAAAGTTGTCATGGATGAGGAACTCTACTGAAAACTTCTAAGAAGTCAAGAAAGATAAGGCCTAAACATTTCCATTAGATTTAGGAGCAAGAAGGTGATTGGAGATATTGATGAAAGCCGTTTCAGAAATGATGGGGATGGCAGTCTGATTACAGTTCAGTGAGAAGCATTTGAAAGAAAGTGGAAACTGCAAAAGAACGCAACTCTCTTAAGTAATTAGACTGTGAAGGGGGCAAGAGAAGGCTGTAGCTAGAAGGGAAAGAAACGGGTGTGTGTGTGCGTGTGTGTGTGTGTGTGTGTGTTTTATGGGAGAGACTTGAGCCTGTTTAATGCTGGTGGAAAGAAGCCAGTAAGAGATTGCAGATGAAAGAGAACAAGGGCACCTTTCATCTAAATGACATTGAATGAAGGAAAGAGCACATCTAACTTCATATCACAGTGATCGGTAATTTAACATCTCTGAGCCTCCATTTCCTCTATAAAATGGGAATCTTAATCCCCACTTTTCAGGTTTTTTATAGGAGTTGCTGGAAATAAACATAAAGAACTTAGTACAATGACTGAAACTTAAGAGTGACTGTGCTAGTCTTATTAAGATTCTTTCAGAGGCATTTTGAAGGTATGGCAGGTGTGGCACATGCTCTGGACAATTTCTATTAACCATCTAAGTTTCCATTGTCAGCTGTGATAGATCATTCAGCAAGTGAAAACTTCTGTATCTGAGAACCTCCGTGGGTTGAGGCAGACTGTGTGATCTTGCTCTGTTGAATGTAGAAAAAGGTGAAACTGAAAAAAATTGCTTTAAGCACATCATAGACCAATTTTCATCAGTGAATTTTCAAGAAGTGTAATTTTCAAGAAGTGCCATAATTTGTTATGTAAGAGATTAATGAGCTTGACTTGTGTTTTTGAGCTGATATTATGGCAAAGTTATCTAAAAGATGGGTGTCAGATGTTTGGACAGAGGCACAATTTCAGTACTTGCCATGGGTGTTTTTTTCCATATATATGGCTTTGGATTCTTTACATTATTATTTGTTTCTCAATAAATCAACTAATTTAAGGTGAGTGTGAAGCAAGAAGAAAAGGGGATATTTGTACCACAAGAATCAGTGATGTTCATTTAGAGGCACGACTTGAAGATAGCTCAAGTTTTTTTCTTTCTTCAACAGTAACACACTGCATTTGGTCTCTACCACAAAAACGGAAGTGATTCTACCTTTGATTGAGAATAGGCGATCCTGGTCAACTTGCAAGCCTTTCTTTACCGGCCTGAACTACTGCACAATGGGTGCTTACTCCAACGCCAGCTCCATAGACTCTGCCTCCTACTATCCACTGACCGGGGACACCAGGTCAGGCATGATCAATGCTAAGTCCACTGTTTACTAACTTCCACATTATGGCTACTTTGCAGGACAAAGGAAAAAATGTTGTGTGTTGTAGGTCCCTGTGCATAAGAGTTTGCAGCATCCTTTAATTATGTGAAACAGTGGTCCTATGCCCCACTTTCATCTGTGAAAGCAAGGAGGATGCAATTGTAATTTTCGTGTAGTGCTGCAATGTGTTAGAAAAAGATTAATGAGCTTCCCTTAACCAATGAGTTAAAAATGCCTTCCCCACCATGCTAAACCAAAAAACCAAACTCACAGCCATCAAGTTGATTGCAGCTCATAGTGACCCCTCCTTGGGTTTCTGAGGCAGTATCTCTATGGAAGTAGATTGCCCAGTCTTCCTTCTGAGGAATGGTTGGTAGGTTTGAACCTCCATCCTTCTGGTTAGCAATCAAATGCCATAAGCACTATACCACCAGAGCTCCCACTATGCTACTCCTACCAAAACTTTGACTCTAGGATGGGGTTTCTCCTCAGATAGGGTGAGGGTAAGAGATCAGGGTTAGAAGGTGGGGATTCATGACATCTAGGGAGGACTATAGATCTAAAAGGTAACCCAATGTGCTTCTGTTGAACTCCCTTGGGAATTATACCCATCACAGTTGAGAACCATTCCTTCAAAAACACCTACTTGTAGATGGTGTCCCCTTCTTTTCCCTTTAAATGTTAGAGTAGAAGATGACATTATAGATTCTAGTTTGCTCCTAATTCAGTATCTATATTTCCAAGCCTTTACACACCTTGGGGTGGCCTTTCCTGGGGCTCACTGGTGTGTTCGCCATGCTTAAGGGCTCCTTGCTGTCTTCACACTCCCCAAATTCTACTTCTTGGCCTTGGCTTTGCTGACACAGCCAGCCAACTCCTTCTCTGCTTGTCTAAGAAATCCTGGAAGTCTTGGAGTCTATCCTTACCTGGGGCTCTTTGAGCGGCTGAAAGGGCCTATAAAAGAACATCATTAGTTAAGGGCCAGACACAATGTTAAAATAAGAGCGTTATTTTTGTTGTAATTGATACTAAGTGGTTTGCGGGACATTTGAATTCTCATTGAAAAGCTCTAACATTGCAGCTGCATTGTAACACTTTTAGATTTGAACTGGAACTGAAACCAACAGGAGAAGTAGAGCAGTATTCTGCCAGTGCAACCTATGAACTTCAGAGAGAAGGCAGTGCATTGGTGGACACACTGAAGTTTGTAACTCAGGCAGAAGGTAAGTATCCAAAAAGGGCTCCTCCGTCACTGCTCTCATTCTCAGGTTCAGGACTCAGAAGGAGAATATGCTTTCAACAAATATTTATTGAGTGCCTAAAATGTTTTAGCTCTAAGGCCTGGGGTTAGAACAGTGAACATCAGAGATAAAGTCTTTGCCCTCATGGAGCTTTCAGTCTACACTCAAACAAGTAAATATTCAGAATGTTAGATCAGTGCTGAGGAGGAAAATATAGCAAGGAGTGATCTAAACCTAAACCCCTGTCATCAAGTTGATTCTGACTCATAGGGACCCCCATTGCATTTCCAAGGCTATAAAGCTTTACAGAAGTAGATTGTCTCATCTTCCTCCCACAGAGCAGCTGGTAGCTTTGAACCACTGACCATCTGGTTAGCAGTGAAATGCTTTCCCCACTATGCCACCAGAGCTCCTTAAAGAGGGGTCTAGGGAATGCCAAAATTTGATGGGGATCTTGAGGGAAGCTAAAGCCATTTGGAAAGATAAGGAAAGCCTTATTGGCCAGGTGGGCATAAAAAAAGAACTGAAGTCAATAAGGGGATAAGCCATGTGGGAAAGAATATTCTAGGCCAAGATGCAGAGGCCCTGAGGCTGACACATGGCTACCATGTTTGAGGAAGGGGAAGGAGGAAATATGACTGAAGCTGACAGAAAAGTGGTAAGAGATAAAGTCAGAAAGAGAAGGGAAAGCAGGAGAAAAAGGTCATATAGACCATAGTAAGAACTTTACCTTTTACCATGAAAGAAGCAGCCCTGGAAGGCTTTCATGATTTGATTTATATTTATGTTGAGAAAAGACTATAGGGGGACTATAGAAAAGACTATGGAGGGCAGGGAAAAAGTATGTAGCTATTGCAACAGTCCAGGAAAGAGATGGTGGTGGTTGGGATTAGAGTGGTGGCAGAGGAGCTATTAGAAGTAGTCAGATTCTGGCCATAATTTGAAGATTCAGCTGTTGAGGTTTGCTGATATATTGGATGTTGAGAGTAAGAGAAAAAGAGAAATGAGAATGACTCCCAGTATTGTGGCCCAAGCAATTAAAGAATGGAGTTGCCATTTAGTAAGACAGAGAAGGCTACTAGAGAAGCAAGTTTTGGAGGATGGATTCACTCAAGTGCTCACTTGGGAAGATTTTTACGTAGGACCATGTCACACAACAAAACAAACAAACAAACAAAAAAAAAGCCCATGGCGGAGGGGATGGATATATGTCTAGGAATTGAAGATAGCCTGGAAGTGTTTTCACAAAGAAATGATGATTTGGTAAAGGGGAACCCAGGGTAGAGGTGGATAGGAAGCAAGAGATGCCTCTTGGATGATCATCATATGGAGATGTGAGGCCTGTCTCACCGTGCTTTAACACACCAAGTGTTCCCCACATCAGGGCCATTGGATTTCTACTTTCCCCTGCCTGGAAGCGTAATACCTAAGGTATTTGACTGCTAACCAGAAGGCTGGCAGTTTAAACCCACCAGCCACTCCTCAGAAGGAAGGTTGGGCAATCTACTTCCATAGTGAAACTGCCTTGGAAACCCAAAGAGGGGTCGCTATGAGTCCAACAACATGTGACAACAACAACAACTGCCTGGGAGACTCTCCCTGAGATCTCTGCATGCTGAGCCTTTCTTTTCATTCAGAACTCTGGCTTCATATCCCACTGTCAGAGAGAACTTTTCTGACCACCACTAATAAACTAGCACCTCTTCCATCATCACTTTCTATCCTCTATCTTCTCATTCAGTTTTACTTTTCTTCATAACGTTTACTGCTATCTGACATAAACAGTTTTCTTGTTTCTTGCATACCCTCCCCAACTAGAATATAAGCTCCATGAGAGCCAGGATACATCAATGCCAAGAGCAGTGTCTAACACATAAAAGACAATAAATTTTTGTAGATTGAGTGAATGTATAAACACCAGTGAGTTAAAAATTTAAGGTAAAATCCTGAATTGTGCCCTCATTAAATCCATCGGATAGACCAGAATTATTGGTCAGATAGACTCTGGTGGGACCCCCAGTACTATGGCCCCAGGATACATTTTATATATATATATATATATATATATATATATATATATATATATATATGATATTTCTGGGTTTTATGCAGTTTCCTGTCCTTCCTTCCAAACATAGCTTCTTAATACATATTTCTTAATGTTCTTGTACACTATTCAGGTGTGAAACAAACTGAGGCTACTATGACATTAACATATAACCGACAGAGTATGACTTTGTCCAGTGAACTCCAAATTCCAGAATTTCATGTTGACCTTGGGACAGTCCTCAGAGTTAGTGATGAATCTACTGAGGAAAAAAAGTCTTACAAGGTCACCTTGGACATTCAGAACAAGAAAATCACTGAGGTCACTCTTACTGGCCATATGAGGTAAGGAAGACTTAGGGTGACCTGCACTGCTGTTCTTCCCCTTCTTCCTCTTCAGCTGTACAGCTGGCCTGCATATTGTTACCAGGTCTGCCATCCAAGTGACATAGAAGATTCAACAATTTTGACCCTCCACATATGTCCAATTGGAACTTCCTACCATTTTGGGAGCACTTACTATTCACCAGGCACTGTGCTGGGTCCTTTAAAGAAATTATTTCAGTTATCACAATAAACTAAAAAGCAGATATGAGTTGTCCCAATTTTATAGATGAGAAAATGGAAGCTCAGATGGGTTAAATAACTTAGCCAAAGCAATGTTGTTGTTAGCTGCTGTTGCATTAGCCCCCAGCTCATAGGAACCCAGACACAATAGAATGAAACATTGCCTAGTCCTGTGCCATCCCTACGAACAGTTGAGAATCAGATATTGATCTACAGGGTTTTTATTGGCTGGTTTTTGGAAATATATCAGCAGGCCATTCTTCTTAGTCTGTCTTAGTCTAGAAGCTCCGCTGAAACCTCTTCAACATCATAGCTACATGTAAGTTTCCATTGATAGACAGGTAGTGGCTGTGCATAAGCAACATTGTCTGGGAATTGAATCTGAATATCCCACACGGAAGGTGAAGATTCTACCACCAAACAACCAATGCCTCATGGAGAAATCAGTAGAGCTAGCAAATGGGAGAGCAGGATTCAGTTTTCAAAAACCTTCTCCCCACCCCCTCTCCACCATACATCCCTGGGAAGTCCTCAATTTGTGCTGAATGTTGTCTTTAGAAGTTAATGAGTGGGAATTATGGTAATTTCTCTGAGCCATTCACGTATCTGGTTTTTATTATTATAAATGGATCTTCTGTTTAATCCTGCATATCTCCTTGATGTCAACTGATTTTCTTTTCAACAGTTATGACCCAAAGGAAGAAGGTAAAATCAAAGGTGTCATTTCCATGCCCCATTTGCAAGCAGAAGCCAGAAGTGAGATCCTGACCCACTGGTCCCCCACAAAACTGGTCCTGCAAATGGACTCCTCTGCTACAGCTTATGGCTCCACGATTTCCAAGAAGGTGACGTGGCGTTATGGTATGTGCCTCTTTCTCTGGAAGAGGGCTTCCAAGACCACTGTGCTCTAGAGCGCAGGTGTTGAAAACCATTAATTAAGGGCTTACCTGGCACCATTTACAACTATTTCATGTGTGCATTTTCAGATGAAGAGAAGATGGAATTTGAATGGAACACTGGCACCAATGTAGATACAAAAAAAGTGGCTTTCAATTTCCCCGTGGATCTCTCTGTTATTTCTAGAAGCTTACATATGTTTGCCAACAAGCTCTTGGAGCACAGAGTTCCTCAAACAGACATGACTTTCTGGCACATGGGTTCCAAATTAATAGTTGTAAGTATAAATCAGCCAGTGAATAAATGCATGTCTGTAAGTACTAATTACATACTCAATCATAGTTAGGTGCAGAACGCCATCAGTGATGTATAAGGAGGCATGCTTCCTGCCCCTAGAGAATGCATGCATGCAGTAAACAGAGCTGGGTATGATAAATGCCAAATGAGTAGTACTAAGAGGAAGAGTTTGTCATGCCTAAAGGTATTAAAGGAGACTTCAGAGCACTGTCTAGGAGTATGACTATGCTATATATTCCTTTTATAAAATAGGGGAAGAGATCAATAAACCATAACTCACAATTGTCTGTGACTTATTTTAACCTTCAGTGTTTTGTCCTGCTTAATAATTGATCTGTCAAATCTGTATTATTGCCTAATGTTGATTGTACTTTGTGGCTCATCCATGACTGTTTTCTAAAAAACTTCTTTAATTTTGTAGGCAACAAACACATGGCTTCAGGAGGCATCTAAGGACCTTCCTTATGTCCAGACTTTGCAAGATCACCTCAACGGCCTAGAGGAGATGAACCTACAGAAAATGGGATTTCCAGACTTGCACATTCCAGAAAACCTGTTCTTAAGAAGGTAAAAGAAGAAACCAAAAACATTTGTTGAACTGTCCAAAGTAAATGGAAGATTTTACTTTGGGATGATTTAAACTTTTTAATTTAGATTTTTAAGGGAAACAATTTAAATATTTTAAGGAGCTTAATGACTGTAGCATAAATACTTCTGCATTTTTGCTTTATGGGGCATGAATTCTAAGTGTGAATGCCAACTAGTCAGGAAGAAGCTAAGAGTTGGGGGATTCTTGTACTTTAACCCTTAGAAGCTTTATTGACAGTAACCATAATTTTTACCTATAACCCTGAATTTAAAATCCATTCAATTTTCTTCCAGCATAAGTAAACTTCATCTTCGTTCAGGATTAAGATTTCCTCATAGTTGTTTAACTTTGAAGAATTTAAGAGTGGCTAGAGGTATTATTGACTACAGGTTGGTTATTGAGCTATAGGGAATCAGAACAGCCTCAGTTTAACATTGAAGACAGCATTCAAAGAGTGCATTTCAATTTGGTGGTATACACTAAGTCATTATAGTCAGATTCCAAACTGTTCAGTCCATTCTTATATTCACAGAAATGCATGTAGTGCTTTGATTGCTTAATTTCATGAAAATATTAATTCAAATCATGAGCTGAAAAGTCCTTTTTAGATTGACTATTCTCTGTATTATTTTCAGGGCTAAGAAAACAAGTAGGCTGGGGCCCCAGGACCTTTTAGTATTCTATGGTTGGGCAGCAAAGTTTAATGGAAAAGATGGATTTGAAAGGGCTGAAGTCAGCCAAAGGACTCATAGAGACAAAGTTCACTGAAGATGAGAGAAGATCTAGCTGTTCAGAAAACCCAGAAAGCTTCCTTCACCACTAGGTGTTTCTGACCCTCAGTCTTCTCTTTGCTGAAAAGACAAGGCCACAATACCTTCGAATTAGATGAGACCTTCATGATTGTGAATACATCTTTTTACTGAATGCTGATGTAGCATCCAGTCCCTTTGAAGCAATACAGTGAATAGGAGTTTATTTGCCTATGGCCTTTAAATTCTAGTATCTTACTATTTTTTCTTAATAGTTATCACATTAGTCCTTTGTCTGTGTATACTACTGAAAAGATCGCAAAATGCTTTTAGGCATTTCTTCTCATTTGATATCCAAGGCCAGTCGGTGAGGTCTCTATAAAGAATATTATTATCCCTGCTATACAGATAACATCTGTAAGAATCAGAGAGGCTAAGATAGCATATCCAATTAGCAGAAGCTAAAACTATAACCCAAGTTTACTGAATCCCAAACTTCTTCCACATATCAAGTTGTCTCAATTCCGTTTAACAAGTATTTATCAAGTGTCCCCCACATGCAAGATACTAGGCTCAGTGCAATGAGAAAAGAGAAACTGGATAAGGCATAGTCCTTCCTTCCAGATAAATTACTCTGTGTGGACACTGAAAAATGAATAAATATTAGTTATACAAGTAAAGTTATGCCGTGCTTTTTGAGATAGGTATAAGGGACATGACTATAAGAATTAAAGAGATTAACTGTGACTTAGGTAGGATGGTAATGATAAGAAGCAGCTCTTGAAAGGATTTTGAATGGACTTGAGTGTTTATGACAGGAGAAGGGGATAGCAAAGGAATTCTAGACATAGGGAGTAGCATGAGGAAAACTAGCGTGGGTTTCAAAATGGAGCATGTTCAGTGTTGCTTGGAGTTGCACAGACTCTGAGTCCCTGATGTCTGGCTATGAGAACATTGTCTTTGTTGTTCATTTCAGTGATGGCCGTGTCAAATACACATTGAACAAGAACAGTGTGAAAATTGAGATACCTTTGCCATTTGGTGGCAAATCCTCCAAAGATCTAAAAATCTTAGAGACTGTTCGGACACCAGCCCTCGACATCAAGTCTGTGGGATTCCATCTGCCACCTCAAGAGTTCCGTATCCCCACTTTTACCATTCCCAAGTTGTATCCACTGCGAGTACCTCTCTTGGGTGTTCTGGACCTGTCCACGAATGTCTACAGCAACATGTACAACTGGTCTGCCTCCTACACTGGAGGCAATGTCAGCACAGATCACTTCAGCCTGAAGGCTCAGTACCACATGAAAGCTGACTCTGTGGTTGACCTGCTTTCCTACAGTGTGCAAGGTGAGCCATGCTTGGCCAGGCCCAGGTTCTGTAGTACAGACTGGGGCTTACATGTCTGCTTCTGTACTCTTGCCTTGGTCTGTGCAGGCACATTATAAATTTTCAGTATAACCATCCTGACTAATTAAGATAAAGTAACCAGATATTTTCAGAGAAACCCACATTTTTCACCTACTTACTTAACATTCCTACTACTATAATTCCATGATAAAAGGCAAAGGCTTGAGTACCTTCTCCACAGAACTCAAGGAAATACATAGAGTTTGGGAGAGCCTGGGTTACACAGAACTCTCATTATACTGATTGAACTTATTGTCATATAATTGTTCAGATTTTCACAATTTTTATTTTGTCAATGGAAATTGACCCATTCCTTTATCTAAATTGTTCCAATAATACTAGGTTAGCTTCAGTGACAATACAGAAAGGTAGAAAAAAAGAATGCAATAAGCCATTTATTCTTAAGGTCACAGATTTTACTGGTCCCCTCCTCCCCTAACCTTATTTAGGTCAACAGTTTTGACAAGCACAATTGTTCTGATGCCACATAGATATATAAATTAATATTTTCATTAAAGAGCTCACAAATTTATTTTAATAATTGAAATTTCAGGAAAGTACAAAATATGTAACACTATTTTCAGCTCCTTGTTCATTATATTATCATCATATAATGAACAAAAAAAATCATTATATATTATCTGCCTTGTTTACAAGATTTCCATGCTTGGCATTTTGAAGTAGATGGCCTTGAAAATAAAAGCCAAACTTTATTCTTGGAGTGGGGAGGAGTGCGGAGAACAAATATTATCCTCTTTATATAGATCATGAAATTGAAACTACATGATTTCCCCAAGTCATACAGCCAGTTAAAGGTAAAACCTTCAAAGAAAAGTGATCAAAGGAATGTGTTTTGTTTTATTTTGCTTCAAATTTTCAGCAAAACAAAAAAGGCTAGATGTTTTCCGCCAGTTTTCATGTTCTTAGGACTCATTTCCAGGCAACTCTCTGCTGTGCTTAGGGATCTAGTTCAAAAGAACAAATCTGAGAGCGTGGTCAGATTCCACTTTACATACTAGCCAGGAGGGCTTGGACGAGTCACCTTTTCTCTCTGGATGTCTGTTTCTCTATGTTTGTGATGATAGGGTTGGACTGAATCAATATGTTTCAAACCTTTTAAGTACCAAAACCAGTTTGCCAAATGAAAACTTAGTATAAATCCCTATTTGTAAAACCTATTGAAGCAGAGACTGGCTGAGGATGTTTGGAGGCCTGCTTGAACTCTCATTTCACTACAGAAGCACCTGGCATCACCGCCAGCCCCTAGATGTCCACAAAGCTTTAAAACCCAATGGACAACGTTGTTTCTCAGATCACTTCTAGTTCTAATGAACTGTAGGCCTTTCTGAGAAACTTCTGCAAGCCCATCAGTTCTTATTTCCTTTATGTTTGGCTTTCAAGGCTCCCAATTATCTGGACTCATTCTAGGTAACTAACATTTATACCCCCAAAATAGAGCTTTCCATCAGACTTCTATCCCTGGGTAGTCTGTAGCCTATCTCCATGTCATCCCCTACCCAGAATGCCCCGCTTCCTTCCTCCTTCACCTTCTAGTCATGCTTAGTCCCCAGCTCCTTCCCTGTTGAAGCCTTTGTTGGGCCCACCCACCTGCATTTTTCCTATCTGTTCATTCCCTCAATGCTTGTGGCTTATAAGAGCTGTGCTTGCCAGTCCAAGTGTTATCTCATCCTCTTACCCTTGCTTCATAGGAGTTAGTCCTGTCTCTCTAATTAAAGTGCCACTTCTTGGAACACAAGGATCATACCTTTGACTTTCTGGATCCTTCCCGATATTGTAGTTTTCATCACTTAGTTAATATTTAGCATCTATATTATTACTTCTAGAGCAGAGAAGTAAAGAAGTTTATTGATCACTCAATAGAAATAGCATCATCCATTTGTGTATTTCCTTTTACTTTATAGAACATATTTACATGTATTATCTCATGCAATCATATCAGCAATTCTGTGATACAGGCATTATAATAGTTACAGTTTATAGATGAGCTACAGCTTATAGATGACTCAGTTTATACCTGAGTCTTAAGGTAGGGAAGTGACTGTCTCAAGGGGCTGGCATTTCAGTCAGGAAGGTATTGAATGAAGTAGGCAGTGGGCACTGGATTGAGACAGGACCTTATGTGGCCAAGCAAGGTCAAGAAGAGAACTAATCTACTACAAGAGAAAGTTCTGTGAAGACTGGGGGCAGGGGCAGATGAGTCTAGATAGGGAAGTAGAGCCAGATTGTAGGACCTTTTCCTGAAGGACAACTGTTGGCTAAAATGTACAAGGGCAAATTCAGCATACTCTCAGATGCAAGAGTCTTCTCAGGGGAGGAAAGGACTTTCTTACAGATATTTTCCTTGCTACTTGGAAGCCTTTTCATTCACTCATTCTTTCATTCATGCATTCAAGCATTAGAAATACTTATTGAACACATAATATATATCAAGTATTCTACTAGGTAGTGGCAGAGAAAGCAGGCAGATAAGGCAGCAACTCTAAATCAGCGTGATTAGTACTATGATAGGGTGTACTGTATATGTATATGGTCAGTGGTGGCATTTGATTTAAAAAAAAAAAAAAGTGAACAAGGTTTGTAGTGGTCAGGGAAAGCTTCCTGAGGGAATGCCATTTACTATCAGATTTTATGTTTGTATTGTGGAGGAGCCTATTGCATGTCTGACCCAGATGAACAGAACTTCATTACTCAAGGAGTTTTAACATAGAGATTATTCTAGACATTTATTACTTAATTTAATGAATGCCTTTTCATTTTGTTTAGGATCAGGAGAAACAACGTATGACCACAGGAACACATTCACAGTATCATATGATGGATCATTACACCACAAATTTCTGGATTCAAATATCAAATTCAGTCATGTAGAAAAAAATGGAAACAGTCCAGCCTCAAAAGGTTTACTAACATTTGGTGCAACTAGTGCCTGGGGACCACAGATGTCTGCTTCAATTCATTTGGACACAAAAAGGAAACAGCATATTTATGTGAAGGAAGTCAAGATGGACGGGCAGTTCAAAGTCTCTTCATTCTACACAAAAGGCATTTTTGACCTGTCTTATCAGAGGGATCTTAACACAGGCCACCTAAGTGGAGAGTCCAACCTGAGGTTTAACTCCTCCTTTCTCCATGGTACCAACCAGGTAATGGGAAGATATGAAGATGGAATACTCACTTTCACTTCCACCTCAGACCTGCAAGGTGGCCTCCTTAAAAATACAGCTTCCCTGAAATATGAGAACTATGAGTTGATTCTTAAATCTGACACCAATGGGAACTACAAGGAATTTGCCACTTCCAGCAAGATGGATATGACTTTCTCTAAGCAAAATGCATTGCTGCGTTCTGAGTATCAGGCTGATTACAAGGCACTGAGGCTCTTCACCCTGCTTTCTGGATCACTCAGTTCCCGTGGTCTTGAATTAAATGCTGATCTCTTGGGCACAGACAAAACTAACAGTGGTGCTCATAAAGCAACACTAAGGATTGGCCAAGATGGAATATCTACTAGTGCAACTACCAACTTGAAGTATAGCCCATTGGTACTGGAGAATGAGCTGAATGCTGGGCTTGGCCTCTCTGGAGCTTCAATGAAATTAACAACAAATGGTCGCTTCAGGGAACACAATGCAAAACTCAGTCTAGATGGAAAAGCTACCCTCACAGAGGTATCCTTGGGCAGTGCTTATCAAGCCATGATTCTGGGTGTCGACAGCAAAAACATTTTCAACTTCAAAATCAGCCAAGAAGGACTTAAGCTTTCAAATGACATGATGGGCTCATACAATGAAATGAAACTTGACTATACGAACAGGCTAAACATTGCAGGCTTATCACTAGACTTCTCTTCAAAACTTGACAACATTTATAGTTCTGACAAGTTTTATAAGCAAAATTTTAATTTACAGCTTCAGCCCTATTCTCTTGTAACTACTTTAAACAATGACCTGAAATACAATGATCTGGATCTGACCAACAATGGGAAATTACGGCTAGAACCCTTGAAGCTGAATATGGGTGGTAACATAAAAGGAGCCTACCAAAATAATGAGATAAAACACATCTACACCATTTCTTATGCTGACTTATCAGCAAGCTATAAAGCAGACACAGTAGCTAAAGTTCAGGCTGTGGAGTTTAACCACCGGCTCAACACAAACATCGCTGGGCTGGCTTCAGCCATTGACATCAGTACAAACTATAATTCAGACTCATTGCAATTCAGCAATGTTTTCCGCTCTACAATGGCGCCATTTACAATGACTATTGATGCACATACTAATGGCAATGGAAAATTTGTTCTCTGGGGGGAGCACACTGGACAGCTGTATAGCAAATTCCTGTTGAAAGCAGAACCTCTGGCCCTTACTTTCTCTCATGATTACAAAGGATCCACAAGTCACCATCTCATGTCCAAGAGAAGCATTGATACTGCTCTTGATCACAAAGTCAGTACCCTGCTTACTCCAGCTGAGCAGACAAGTACCTGGAAACTGAAGACCCAGCTGAACAAAAATGAATACAGTCAGGATGTCGAGGCTTATAACACTAAAGATAAAGTAGGTGTGGAGCTTAGTGGGCGAGGCCTGGCTGACCTCACTGTGCTTGACTCACCTATTAAAGTGCCGTTTTTGCTTAGTGACCCAATCAATGTAATTGATGCCTTAGGGATGAGAGATGTTGCTGACCAACCCCAAGAATTTACTATTGTTGCTTCTATGAAGTATGATAAGAACCAAGATGTTCACACCATCAACCTCCCATTGTTGAAAATTCTGCCAGAATATTTTGAGAGAAATCGATTAGCAACTATAGCTGTCCTAGAAAGCGTACAGAGAGAATTGGAAAAAATCAATATTAATCAATTTGCAAGAAAATACAGAGCAGCCCTGGACAAAATCCCACAGCAAGTTAATGATTATCTGAACGCATACAATTGGGAGACACATGTTACAAATGCCAAGGAGAAACTAACTGCTTTCACAAAAAATTACAGAATTACAGCAAATGATATACAAATTGCATTGGATAATGCCAAAAGCAACTTGAATGAAAAGCTATCTCAACTACAGACATATGTGATACAATTTGATCAGTATATTAAAGATAATTATGATGTACATAATTTAAAAATAGCTATTGCTAAGATCATTGACCAAATCATTGAAAAATTAAAAACTCTTGATGAACGTTATCATATCCATGTAAATTTAATAAAAATAATTCATGATCTATATTTATTTGTTGAAAAGATTAATTTTAACAAAACTGGAAGTAGTGTTATGGGCTGGATTCAACGTGTGGAAAGTAAATATCAAATCAGACTACAGATACAAGAAAAACTGCAACAGCTCAGAACACAGATTGAGAACACAGACATCCAATACCTTGCCAAAAGGTTAAAACAACAGGTTGAGATGACTGATATCAGAGTGCTCTTAGATCGGGTGAGAACAACAATTCCAATTCAAAGAATAAATGACATTATTGAACGTGTCAAATACTTTGTTATAAATCTTATTGAAGATTTTGAAGTAACTGAGATCATCAATGCTTTTGGAGCCAAAGTTCATGAGCTAATTAAGAAATATCAAATAAACCAACAAATTCAGGTTTTAATGGATAAATCGGTGCAGTTGGCCCACCAATATAAGTTAAAGGAAACTCTTCAGAAGCTAAGCAATGCCTTAAAACAAGTTGAGATAAAAGCTTACTTTGAGAAATTGGTTGGGTGTATTGATGATAATGTCAAAAAGCTTAAAGCATTGACTTTTGAAAAATTTATGGAAGAAGTAAACAGATTCCTTGACATGTTGATAAAGAAATTAAGGTCATTTGATTACAACCAGTTTGTGGATGAAACCAACAACAAAATCCATGAAGTGACTCAGAGAATCAATGGTGGAATCCAGGCCCTGGACCTACCACAGAAAGCTAAAGCCTTAAAGTTATTTGCAGAGGAAGTCAAAACAGTGACTTCAGTCTATCTGGAAGACCTAAAAGACACCAAAATAACCTTGGTTCTTGATTGGGTACAAGATGCTTTCAGTTCAGCATCTTTAATTTACATAAAAAACAAATTCCAAGAGACCTTAGAAGATCTACGAGACCGATTATATCGCATGGACATTCAGCAGGAACTCCAGCGTTACCTATCTCTGATAAGCCACGTTTATAGCACCTTTGTCACTTATGTTTCTGACTGGTGGATTCTTGCTGCTAAGAACCTTACTGACTTTGCAGAACAGTACTCTATCCAAGACTGGGCTGAAAACCTAAAAAGACTGGTAGAACAGGGGTTCACAGTTCCTGAAATACAGACCATGTTTGGTTCTATGCCTGCTTTTGAAGTAAGTCTTCGTGCTCTTAAAGAAGCCACATTTCAGACTCCTGACTTCATAGTACCTCTGACAGATTTGAGAATTCCATCTGTTGAGATAAACTTCAAAACACTGAAAGATATAAAAATCCCATCTAGGTTTACTGTGCCAGAATTTACTGTGCTCAATACCTTCCACATTCTTTCCTTTACAATTGACTTGGTAGAAATTAAAGTAAAGCTCATCAGAGCCATTGACCAAATGCTATCCAGTGAGCTGCAGTGGCCTGTTCCAGAAGTGTACTTAAGGGATTTGAAGGTGGCTGACACCCTTCTTGCTAGAATCACTCTGCCAGACTTCTATTTACCAGAATTTACTATTCCTGAATTTGTGATCCCAAATCTCAACCTTAAAGATTTTGAAGTTCCCACTCTACAAATACCAGAATTCCAGCTTCCCCATATCTCACACACAATCCAAGTACCCACTTTTGGCAAGCTGTATGGTATTTTGAAAATCCAATCTCCACTTTTCACACTAGACTCAAATACTGGTATTCAGAATGTAACCACTTCAGAGAACAAGGCAGAGATTGTGGCTTCCTTTGTTGCCAAAGGAGAATCCAAACTAGAACTTCTCAATTTTGATTTTCAAGCAAATGCACGACTGTCAGACTTTGAGATCAATCCCATGGTTGTGAAGGAATCTGTGAAGGTTTCCAGCAGATACCTCAAAACAGAACATGAGAGTCAAGTGCTATTTTATGGAAATGCTATTGAGGGAAAATCAGAGACAGTGGCAAGCTTACACACAGAAAAAAATACACTGGAGCTTAGTAACAGTGTGCTTCTCAAGATAAACCAACAGTTTACCCTGGACAGCAACACAAAGTACTTCCACAAACTGAACATCCCCAAACTAGACTTTTCCAGTCAGGCTGACCTGCGCAATGAAATGAAGACCCTTTTGGAAGCTAGGCGTGTAGCATGGACTTTTTCTGGAACAGGATCATGGAAATGGGCCTGCCCCAATTTCTCTGATGAGGGAACACATGAATCACAAGTTAGCTTCACTGTAGAAGGACCTATCACTTCCTTTGGTTTGTCCAGTAAGATCAACAGTAAACACATAAGAGTTAACCAAAGCTTAGTTTGTGAATCTGGCTTCCTTGACTATTCTAAATTTGAAATCCAGTCCCTAGTAGAATCCCAGCATGTAGGTCGTAGTGTCCTAACTGCCAAAGGCACAGCATTGCTTGGAGATATGAAGGCTGGGATAACTGGCAATCATGATGCCCATTTAAATGGAAAGGTTATTGGAACTCTGAAAAATTCTCTTTTCTTTTCAGCACAGCCATTCGAGATTACGGCATCTACAAACAATGAAGGGAATTTGAAAGTTAGTTTTCCGTTAAAGTTGACAGGCAAGATCGACTTCCTGAATAACTATGCACTGCTTCTGAATCCTAGTGTACAGCAAGCAAGTTGGCAAGCCAGTGCCAGGTTCAATCAGTATAAGTACAATCAAAATTTCTCTGCTGGAAACAATGAGAACAGTATGGAAGTCCACATAGCAATGGATGGAGAAGCCAACCTGGATTTCTTAAACATTCCTTTAACAATTCCGGAAATGACTCTACCTTATACAACATTCACAACTCCTCAGGTGAAAGATTTCTCCTTATGGGAAAGAACAGGCTTGAAGGAATTCTTGAGAACAACAAAGCAATCATTTGATTTAAGTGTAAAGGCTCAGTATAAGAAAAACAAAAATAGACATTCCATCTCAATTCCTCTGGATGGGTTTTATGACTTTATCAGTCAGAACATCAAATCCTTCAACAAACATTTTGAGAAAGGCAGAGACAATGCATTAGATTTTCTTACCAAATCCTATAACACCATTCATGTGCCTAGGAGTCTTCACAAACTTTCCCTTCCAGATTTCAAGGTACCAAGAAGTTCAAACAACATTTTTATTCCAGCCATGGGAAATATTACCTATGATTTTTCCTTTAAATCAAGCTTCATCACACTGAATACCAATGCTGGACTTTATAATCAGGTCAATATTGTTGCTCATTTCCTTTCCTCCTCTTCTTCCTTTATTCATGCACTGCAGTACAAATTAGAGGGCACCTCAAGTTTAATGAGGAAAAGGGGGTTGAAGTTAGCCACAGCTTTGTCTCTGAGTAACAAGTTTGTGGAAGGCAGTCATGACAGTACCCTTAGCTTAACCAAGAAAAACATGGAAGCATCAGTGACAACAACCGCAAAAGTCCAGATTCCAATTTTGAGAATGAATTTCAAGCAAGAACTTAATGGAAATACCAAATCAAAGCCTACTGTCTTTTCAGCCATTGAGTTAAAATATGATTTCAATTGCCCAAAGCTGTCCTCTACTGCTAAAGGGGCAGTTGACCACAAGCTCAGCTTAGAAGGCCTTACCTCCTACTTTTCTATTGAGTCATCTACCAAAGGAGATGTCAAGGGTTTGGTTCTTTCACAAGGATATTCAGGTTCTATCACCAGTGAGGCCAACACATATTTGAATTCCAAGGGCACTCGGTCGTCAGTGAAGCTGCAAGGGGCTTCCAAAGTTGATGGTATCTGGAACTTTGAAGTTAATGAAAATTTTGCTGGAGAAGCCACTCTCCAACGCTTATATGCCATCTGGGAACACAATACAAAAAACCTTTTAAGGATTAAGGATATCTTTTTAACATCTGGCGAGCATACAAGCAAAGCTACTTTGGAACTCTCCATGTGGAAAATGTCAGCCCTTGTTCAGGTCCGTGCAAGCCAGCCCAATTCCTTCCTTGATATCCCTTACTTTGGCCAGGAAGTAGTCCTGAATGCTAACACTGGGAACCAGAAGGTCAGCTGGAAAAGTGAGGTCCAGATTCATTCTGGGTCTCTCCAGAACAATGTACAGCTTTCCAGTGACCAAGAAGAAGCACGCCTTGACATTGCAGGATCATTAGAAGGACACCTGTCATTCCTCAAAGAAATCGTCTTACCAGTTTATGACAAGAGCTTATGGGACCTCCTAAAGCTGGATGTAACCACCAACATTGGCAGGAGACAGTATCTTCATGCTTCAACTTCTCTTGTGTACACCAAAAACCCCAAAGGGTATTACTTTTCTGTCCCTGTGCAAGAACTAGCCAATGAATTCATTATCCCTGGACTGAAACTAAATGATCCAAACTCAGTTCTTGTAATTCCTACATTCCAAGTCCCACTGACGAACCTTCAGGTTCCCTCATACACCCTTGACTTTAGTGAAATAAAAATAAAAAAGAAGCTAAGTACTTTACCATTTGACCTCCACATGCCAACACTACCCAAAGTAAAATTCCCCAAAGTTGATGTGTTAACAAAATATTCTAAACCAGAAGACTCCTCAGTTCCCTTTTTTGAGGTAACTGTGCCTGAATTGCACTTGATTATGTCACAGTTTACCCTTCCAAACAGTATTTCAGTTGGCAGTATTGTTTTGAACTTAAATAAGGTGGCCAACAAGATTGCAGACTTTGATTTGCCAACGATCACCATGCCTGAGCAGACTATTGAAATTCCTTCCATTAAGTTATTTATACCTACTGGAATTTTCATTCCTTCTTTTGGATCACTTACTGCACGTTTTGGACTAGCCTCTCCCCTATATAATACCACTTGGAGTGCTGGCTTGAAAAACAAAGGAGATCACCTTGAAACATTTCTGGATACCACATGCAGCTCAACCCTACAGTTCCTGGAATATGATCTAAATAGTAAGCAAATCTTCCGATTCCTCTCCTATTTGCTATATGTCTCAGTGAGAATTGTAAGTAAATAATGATTTATTTAAATTTCATTAGAGGCACAATTATTCTATATAGCAAAATTTAAAAGAACAGGGAAGGAGATACATATATACCTCACGTGTAGAAAACCTAGTCACACTCAAAAGAAACATATATGAAACATTCAGTTTTATGTAGTAATTTTAAGACAAATAATATCTCCTTCTAGCTACTTATAGAAAAATATAGCCTATACATTACATGTTTCAAACATATAAGTCAGGCACTTGGTTAAAATAGAATCCTCCCAGTTTTTACAATGAAAAATGTCTATGTCTTACAGTTATTAAATCTAATGAAATATAAAATCTCTCCTATACAGTTGTGGGAACACACAAGTTTGAAGATGATGCTTTAGCCTGTAAGACCCAAGGAATATTTTCACACCGTGACTTCAGTGCAGAATATAAAGAAGATGGCAAATATCAAAGGCTTGTGTATGGAACTTTTGACGACAGTTCATATTTTTTCAAAAGTCATTATGATTTTTACCACCTCGGTGCCTCTTTCATGACAGCTCATTTGCTTGTCTGTTTTCAGATACTGGAAAGGAGATGCTCGCCTTGACATCACTAGCCCAAGGTTCACTGATGTCCATCTGCACTACCAAACAGGTGAGGAGAGTCTCTCTTCCTCAGTAGCCTCTCCTGCCATAGGCACTGTGGCCATGGACTTTAAAGAAGATAAAGATACTTTTAAATGGGACTTCTACTACCACCCTCAGGTGAGTCCCAGCTAATGGGTTACATAGCCTCAAGAGAAAATAGAGTTCAGATGGATAAATTTAATTCAATACAAAATATTCTTTCAGGAAAGGAAGGATTAATTTTGGGCTAGTTTGGGCTCACGTGCTGATGTGGGTAAGGGGAAGGATGTATGGAAAGAGTCTGTGACCATCATGATAACATTGGAAAAGGCAGGACACCAAATTGTGCACATAGGAGATAGATGACAGATGTTAATACCAACCAGTGTGCCCACAATACTGCATTACCATTAACACCAAACACCAGGCTACAGATAAACACATACATATCTGAGAGGATCAGATGGGGATCAGTGAACAGGATTATACTCTTGACCAAGGATAGATTCAGCACAGGCTAATCTCACACAGAATCAGTGATACAGAATACCTGCAGTCCTTACAGAAACAATAGAAAACAGACACAGAGTAATCCCTCACAGACACCCAGACACTGTGGGAGAGAGATCCACTGGATCTACTTTCTCAGGACCATAGTACAGGTGTATACCAGACTCAATTGGCACAGCAAAATACATAAAAGCCTTGTTCTGCATCCTTCATTGGTGAGTAGTGATGGGGATCTTAAAAGCTTTCAAGTGGCCATCTAAGATGCAGCTAATGGTCTCCTATCATTAGAAGCAAAGAAGAGTGCAAGAAAAAACAAGGGCATTTGGAAGCAATCAGCCCTAGGACATGATGGCCCTCGATACCAGAAGAATTAGACGGTGCCTGGCTATCAATGCCAATCACTCAGGAAAGGATCAAATCTGGAGATCCTGGATACAGTGGGAGGAAAAATGTGGAACAAAATCCAAAAACTCAATAATGACCAGAATTACTGGTTGGATGAGTCTGGTGAGACCCCCAATACTGTGGTCCTGGGATATATTCTGGGCCTGGAATAAAGCTCACTCCCAAGGGCTGGCTCTCAGCCCAGTAGTAAACAAGATGTACATGCAGACCACTCAACCCAGAGTGAAGCACCCACAAACTCTATGGTAATGCATTCCTCAGAGCAATTGAGCATGGGGCACCAGAGCAGCAACATTCACACAGAGGAAATGCAGGACACACAGGAGTGCATAACTATGAGGTGCAGGGGGGTGGGGTTTACCAGGCAGGGAGGGGAGGAGACTGGGTTAGGGTTGGGTATGGTAAATGGGGAGTGAAACTAATGTACATGTAATGTTGAGTGTAAAACCAACTCTTAAAATAAAAAATTTTAAAAAATAAATAACTGAAAAAAAATTCTCTTAGGGTATTTCTAGGTGAAAGACAGTGAACAGGTTGCAATTCCTGTCTGAAGAACTATTCTTCAGAAATTATAATGAGCATTCTATTGATTTTAATAATTAGTTATACATATCATTATATTACTTTATTTAGGGCAAATCTAGAAAGGTGAGGATTATGTCTCATCACCAAATCATGGGCAAACTCTACTTTATCCAATACTTTTTTTTTTTTTTCTGGAGTATTTATAGCTTAAAAAATCTTTCTTCCAATAGAATTGTTAGATCAGGTTTGCCAGATTTCTCTTATGTAGTTTGAAATCTGTCACAGCCAAATCAAAGATGCCATTAAGAGAGGAGGAGAGGTAATGAAGTTCTATTACTGAAGTTTGTCACAGACTTGGATAGCTGCTGATGTTTATATTCTAGGTGTCTGCTAGATTGGCTCTAGACTTGGTCCTATTTTGCTACATTTTTCACCCTTGACTTTTTGTCTTTTCCAGCCTCCTCATCCCCTTCCTTCTCCTTCTCCTTCTCCTTCTCTTCTTCTGATTTTCAGTCCTAGAAAGGCCTTAATGTAAGTGTCATTGTGTAAATGCCATGCATATTTTTTTCATCCTTTCTGAGGCATGTGATAAAGAGGAACTAACAACAGTGGACTTGTTTAACCATAAAACAAACACATGAACTGACATATGAAAGATAAATCTCCTTCAGAATCTGAGCAATCCTCTGATCTTTACTTTTAACTACTAATGAAGTTTTAGTGCAGTATATTATGTAATCAGGGTAATTGAAAACATATTTTTTTTTTTTTTTTGCTGATTTTAGTCCTCTCCAGATAAAAAACTCAACATATTCAAAACTGAGTGGAGGTACCAGGAGTCTGATGATGAAATTCAGATCAAAGTTAACTGGGAAGAAGAAGCAGCTTCTGGACTGCTAAATTCTCTCAAAAACAATATGCCCAAGGCCACTGGGGCTCTTTATGACTATGTCAACACATACCACCAGGAGTATACAGGATTAAATCTGAGAGATGCATCCTCGCGACTAAGAAGGGGCCTGCAGAACGGTGCTGACCAGGCCTATCAAGGAGCCGTGAAGTGGATTGATGACGTGGACTTGGGGTTCCAGAGAACAGCCAGCAGCACCACTAGGACTTACCAGCAGTGGAAGGACAAAGCCCAGAATCTGTACCTGGACTGTTTGCAGAGACTCGAGGATAAGGTGTATAACATCTCAATACGAGTAATTCAAGAATACCAGAGAACAGTCAAGCATCTGATTGACTCACTCATTGAATTCCTGAGGGTCACCAGATTTCAGTTCCCAGGGAAAGCCGGGATGTATACTGGAGATGAAATCTGCACTATGGTCATAAGAGAAGTAGGAAAGATACTGTTAGAGGTAAATTCAAAAATTCAAAGTGGATTAGAAATAATGATTTCCTATCTCCAAGACCTAGAAGAGAAGTCTGGCTTTATCAGAGACCTAAAGTTTAAATATCCTTTTAATTCAAGAAGCTATAAACTAATTGATATATTCCTGGGGGTTGGAGAACTGTTGAACTTTTTATCACAAGAGGTGCAAATGGCCTTTAACGAGTTTCAACCTATTCAGAGTACAGAGATGCTAACTTATCTTCAGAGATTTTTAGAATACATTTTCCAAAATATAGAAAATAAAATAAAACACTTAAAGGAGATGAAATTTACTTATCTCATTAATGATATCCAACATGAGTTCAGGGAAATTTTCAACAAATATATTCCATATATTTTTACATTCCTGAAAGAAAACCTATATCTTAACCTTGGTAAGCTTAATGAACTTGTTCAAAACAAATTTCAAGAAGCTTCTCAAGAACTACAGAAGCTCCACCAGTACATAAAGGCTCTTCGGGAAGAATATTTTGATCCAAGTGTGGTTGGCTGGACAGTGAAATATTATGAACTTGAAGAAAAGGTAATTAACCTGATCAAGAGCCTAGTAGTCTTCCTCAAGGACTTACACTCAAAATATGCTGGCAATGCTGCTGGTGTTGCTTCTGAACTGTCAAGTCGAGTGGAGCAATTTGTGCTCAGAGATATCCAGGAATATCTTGCCATCCTTATTGATGCAGATGGAAAAGGAAAGGAGAAGATTGCAGAACTTTCTGTCACTGCTCAGGATATAATTAATAGCTGGGCCACTACAATGAAGGAAATTATTTCTGATTACCACCAGCATTTCAGACATAAACCACAAGATCTTTCTGACCAGCTTTCTGATTACTATGAAAAATTCGTTGCTGAATCCAAAAGATTGATTGACCTGTCCATGCAAAAGTACCACATGTTTCTGAGATACATCACCGAGTTACTGAAAAAGGTGAAATCAGCCACAGCCACTGAGATGAGCCCTTACATCAAGGTTGCCCCAGGAGAACTTATCATTACTGTCTAATTTTTTTCAAGTAATTCTCATTTATTCTTCTATCCCAATTAAGTTTTTACATAGTTGGGAAAATCATTCAAACTGTTTATGTTGATGCAACCATACATTGAGCAAGGCTCTCAGAAACAAAGTGAACTGCTAGGAGTCACTTGACCAACACATGTCACAGCTGGGCAGGAAGCCAGCTTTACAGCTGGCAGCTAAGTACCAGCAAAAGCCCAAAGGAACTGGACTTACACTGAAGCTGACATCAGAGCTAATGGTTTTTGAACTCTGAGGAACTACATTTTTGCAAGTTAAACAAAATAATCATCTGTTATTTTGCTAAACTTGGGATGAGGTGGGGAAAACACAAATAAATGAATTCTATATTATGTATCACATCACTCAATGTGGCTTGTTTGTATTGAAAGATAGAGATACAAGGGATTGATTAAAATGTTCTGGCATTTCAAAACTTCTAGAAGAATATACCCTATGGTTTGAGTGATAGAGTAAGAGGAAAAAGAGTAAATGTGTAAGGGAAATATTTTACTACCTAAACAGGCGATAACTGATTGGCCTAAGGAATTGCATTTGCCAAGTAAGAAGGAAAAACTGTTCACAAAGGCTTTCACATAATTTGATCCCAAGGATTGCCCACCTTGTCTTCATATGCTGCCCGATCTTTCTCAACAGTCAACCTTCCTTTGCCAGGCAAGGCTTTCTCTTAGGCTCCGAGATCAACCAACAATCCCTTTATTTCATTCAACCTGCCAGGAGTGGAAAAGGGACGACCAGGTAGACTGCCCCTCAGGGTTTCATGGCAGTATATATTGGAAACAGGCCACACTCTCAAGGAAACTCCCTTTCAACTGATTGGCTGCACAAAGCATATACATCAGATCTCATCATGAGAATGACCACACCACAACTGCTTAAACACTCAGAACCATGCGCCAGCCAAGTTGACACAGAACCTTAACTATCACAATTTCTGAACTTCCTTGTAGTTTTGAGAAAATTATTTCCCCTTTATGAGCCTCAGTTTTCTTGCCCTGTAAAATGGGGCAATATCTATTCTGCTTGCCTTATAATCAATTGAAATAATAGATGTGAAAGAGGTTTATAACATATAATGTTGTATAGAAACAAAGCACCATTGTTATTAGATGATTATTTAAATAAGTTTATGGTGAGGAGATAAAGGCACAGAGACCTATCCAATTCAATGAACATTCATTAAACACTTCTGCTAAGCATTACACAAAGACTCTGTGGAAGAGATAAAAATCAGTAAGTTGCAATCCTTGAATATCTACCTACCTATCAAAGGTAGAATCCATTATGGTATGGCAGGTAAAATGCTATAAGGGTTTAAAACAGGAAATGGTGTGGACCAGGAAAATCCTCACAGAGAAGGTTGAAGTGAATCTTCACAATATGTAGCATTTTGACAAGCAGATAAAGGAGAAAGGTTGTTCTAGGAATAGAGGAAGCATGAGCAAACAAAGATAGGTGGGTGTGTTTGAAGCACACTGAATCATCTAGTTTGGTCATACACTGGAAAAGTAAGACGAAGACAGGATTGTAAAGGGAGGCTTGTAGTATTGCAGACTTTGGCAGATGAGCTTGCTGGAGAAGGGCATGCAATGGAGGTTTTTGAGTAGGAGGGTGATATGAGTTGTGATTTATGAAGACTGATATGACAACATGTGCAGGTGTCCTTATTATAACAAGGTGAATCTTAATGTGAGATTTAGTCAGGGCTCAGGTGAAGATAATGAAGACCTCAGACAAATCAAAAATGCTTAGAATGGTGAGGACAGGTTAGATACAAGAAGCATCATGAAGGCGGATCTGATGCAACCAGGTGTCTGATTGTTTAGTACAGAATGGAGCAGTTTAAAAGCTATTCGAAATGGAACAGCTTTGGTAAGTTATTGGGCCAGGGATTGGAGGGGTTGCAGAGGAAGGAGAAAGGAGGAGCAGGGAGAAGAAAGTAAAGCAGGCATCACAGTTATGAAATTTTGAAGTTATCTGGGTAACTTGAAGAGATACAGGACATCCATTGAAAGAGGAGAGGGGACGATTATAAGTGTAAGGCATGGGCTCGTAGACAATCACAGCTGGAAAAGGGGTTATGGGATCACATGGTGAGTTTCAAGTCACAGTGATATCCAAGCAGGAATATCTAGAAAACAAATTGTACATGTGGGCTATAGAAATGACAGCCAAAGGAGTAGAGATGAAGGAGACTGTTGACTAATTAGCGTATTGATTTTCTGTCCTTATAAATACCTTTATAAACTTAACAGGAAAATGAAGAGTTTTCCCTCTTGTACAAGTCATTGGCCTATTGTCCTGGCAATGTACATCTCCTATAAATTGGGAGATGATGTGGAAGGTCCTACTGTAAACACATCTATTCCCCCTGTGAAACCAATATCCAAAGTTTAAAACTAAAGGTAAAGGAAATAATGGAGCCCAGCTTAGGTTGCCCCTGGATCTTCTGAAGTGTGATCAAGCTGTGTACTTTGATTTGACCCCAAACCTAGATGGGCAATGCTGTCCCCAGGCTAAATCTAGTAATAAATGGGTCCACTGTGAGTGGGGCACCACTATGTGCCTTTAGAGATACTTTCATATTCTTCCACTTTTCACTTGAAGGCTGGCTGTCCATTGAGGAGCCCAGTTCTCTCTCTCTCTCTCTCTCTCTCTTTCATCGAGATGAGCAAAGCCTCTTCTGACTTTCTGTCCTAGGTCCCCCTTCTGGTTCTAATTTATGGCTTAGTCCCCATTCAGTCGGAGAAGGGGCCAAGCTGGCCCTCAAATGGGGCCTGCAATATGGGATCCAGGGTGGACGAACAGATGTTCCCTCTAAAAGTGTCTAATAACCAGAGATAAATGTGCAGAAACAGACCCTACCTCTTAGCTCATCTCCTTGTCTTGCTGTTTCACATTAAGAGGTCAACACAACTCCCTTCAGAGCTCTCCATTTGTTGGTGGGATGGTTGGGTGGTCACCAACAAATAACATTCCAAGCCCTCATAAAAGTTGGTGGAGTAGGTGCACATGTTTCTAAGGGGTGAGGATCCTGTCCTTCTTCTCTTGCATGAATGGCTCTCTCCTCCCTCAGGTCTGAGAAGTGTATCAAGTCAGTGATACTTGGGGCACTAGGTACTGAGGTCTGATCCTTATGATAATTTTATCTCCTGAATTGGCACCACCACGGCCCACAATTGGGTTAATGGGATGACTCAAACCTTGGAATTGGCCAGGTACATGAGCTGCAGACCTGTGACTCCCCCTTGTTTTTAAGCTATGTCTAGAGCTCTCACCTGTGTTACATGACCACCAAGGCAGGCTGAGTAGAGGTATCCAGAGTTTAGAATAAACTAGAGAGTGGCCTAAGGAAAGAACATCTTGGTCAGTAGCCCAGTTCCACCAACTCTTCTCTTCTCTTCCATCAAATGGATCCCATGTAGGCTGGAACCTACTAATTCCTTGTAGAACAATGAGGCCCAGGACAGGTCCAGTAGAACTAAGGCCCTTGTGTGGGAGCTGGGCTAAATGAATTCCAGCTGGGATCATTACAACATTCCGGAGATTACACGACACATTGGAAGATCATAGAAAGAGCGAAGTGCTACCCAATAGCTCTACTGAGCTGAGGTAAGGAAGACTGAGGGCACCAGCACTTTCCTCCTTTCAAAAGAAGACCTCAGATCTGAAGCCAAATTCAAACTTCACCATTCATGAGTTATGTAACCTCAGTAAAATCACTTGATTTTTCTAACCTTCAATTGCACCTTTAAAAGGGAGCTAGTGAAAGACTTGTTTGAGTCACTCTGAGCAAGAGTAGAAAAGTGATTCCTTCTTATATTATTGGGTTGTTGTGAAGACTAAATAAGATCATGTGTATCCAATGCCTTCAACACAGATAATGGATAACTTGATCATGTTATATTGACAGAAGTGAAAATGAGTAAAATACAATTGCAATTATATACAACAATATAGCTGGATCTTAATAATATAACTGAGTAAAAAGGTAAGTCCCAGAAGATTAGATAAAGCAGGATGCCCTTTTAACAAATTTAAAATCAGGTCAGTTTTGAGGGTGGGACAAGGATGAGAATTCACCACATGAATAGTTCCTGGTGAAATTCTGCAAGAGTTTTCCTGATGAAGTAGAAACAGCAAGAAGCTATTGAGTGTTCAAACTGAAAGATGGCATGGAATTCTAAAAACAATGTGTTTTCTAGCATTACAGTTTAAGAGCAAAGGAATGATTAACTCAGATTCAAGATAGGTTTTACCTGATAGAGATAGGCAGGGAAAAGAATAGACAAAGAACCACAGGTAGATATAAATTATTGTCACTGGTGGGCAATGAGTTTTGGGGGTTATATTATTAATTAATTAAGACAAAAGAGAGAAAAGAAAATATGCAAGCATCTGGCACATATTAGGTACATAAACTATTATGTGGATCCCTTCTGCTCCTCTTGCTACCTGAGATGGCCAGGAAGGGGCAATGAACTCCCCTCTTATTTATTCAGCCACTTCTCTGTGCCAGACCTTCTCTTAAGCATTCCGAGCATATTAATGAAAAAGCATTGTTTGGGGGGTGGAGACGGGAAAGTGAGGAGCAGCTAAGGGAGACCAATGGTGCTGCCTCAGCCCAAACTCCAAAATCAACCAGGTCATTACAATGGACTTACACTAAAGTCTTGTTATCTTTCTTCTGTTTCCCATGGTAGCTGGATAGTTAAAGGGCCTTGGCCCCACTTGAGGCTTCTCTGAGTTTACTGAAACCATCACTCCCTTCCACGAACTTCTCTGCAACAACTCACTCAGCACTCATGTGTGCTGTTTTTTGACTGACAGATTAGCCATGCACACCAAAGTGATATGTCTAGCCTTTTCCTCTCATAAAAGAATGTGGATGATGAGGAACAAGGGGCTGAAGTTCCACTAAGCTGATTTTGTTCCTTTGGAGAGAGATTCTTCATGTTCTCTAAGAA